AGGCGATTAATGGGGGACATGGTCATCCTGCCCGACGCCAACGTGCTCATTGTCAACGGGGCAGCATCCGGGTCCGCGGGTTGGGATTGCGGGAGGGAGCCAGTGCTCACTCCTGTTCTTTACCAACCCGACCAGCCCATTGGCTCGCGCTTCCAGCTCCAAACCCCGAGCAACATCTCCAGAATGTACCACTCCACCGCGGCTTTGGTCTGAAACGGGCGAGTTCTCATTGCTGGTAGCAACCCTCATGAAAAATATGAGTTTCGTGCTGCTTTCTTTCCCACTGAGTTGAAGCTGGAAGCATTCTCTCCATCTTATTTACACCCGACACTCGCAATTTACCGTCCCACCATCATAACTCCCGCCTCACAAGCCCGCTTCCGATACAACGACTCCTTCCCGCTTTGCTTCACCGTTGAAGCTGGAGCGGTGAACAGGGACCTGGTCACCGTCGCTCTGATTTTGCCCCCATTCACCACCCACTCTTTTTCTATGAACCAAAGGTATATCACACTGGCCCATGTCAACAGTACAACCGCACAACCGCCGGCTGCGGCTGCTGCCAATACTACCTACTACCAAATCGACGTTACCGCTCCACCTTCTCCCAATCTAGCACCCCCCGGATACTACCTTCTCTTCATTGTACACCCTTTTCCATGTATACCTAGCGAGGGTATTTGGATACATATTCGCTAGCCACTTACGGCATCTCCAATGCAAAGAGTCTATTGAACATGGAGGGCAAAATAATGGAAAAACATCTATTCTTTTCCTAGTCCAATGTATAAGGCATCATTATGAAAAATAAAATGCAAACATTACAATTTTAACTTTTGTCTTGGGAAGATGAGGTGAGACGGAAGATCTTGAAGTGGATTTTGTCCTAGACTTTGTTAATCTTTATCTTTTGCGGAATAAGGTTGATTTCACTACATTTATTTTTTTCGTTGGTGAGTACATTTATTAAGAAAAAATGCAATTGGTGAGGTGAAAAGCTTTTTAAAGCAATCCACCTCTCCATTAGAGATGTTCTTAATCATATGGATGCTGCCTCAAGTGTTTCGCAAACCAAATTGATACCTTGAATACTTTTAAATGTTTACTTGATAACTTTAATTTCACTGAAATTTGAAATATAATTATGTGCAATTAATTATTTTACCATGTTTATGAACTCAATATGTCTAATGTTGTTTTGATATGTTGCAATGTCCAGATTCGCTATATGTTTGATTTTTTCCTAATGTGGTCAAATGTTAATCTTGATGTATGATTAATTAATTCATTTCATATAGGTAAAAAAATGAATATTTATTTCAAATTGATTGCAGATCAATTTATGAGAATATTGAGTTCAATATTTAAATATGATCTTCTAATTCTTCGTTTGTAGTTTAAAAATATAATTAAAGAATTGATCTAAAATTAAATTTCTAATTTTTCAAATATTCAAAGATTCTTTAGATATTCAAGTGTTTGTTCTTCTCATCTTTAAATCTTCGATTCATCAAATCTTCATTCTTCAGTTTTTCGAATCTTCAAGCCACGTGCATGATAGATAGAAGTGAAGAGGTATAGAGAGAAAATGCATGTGTATATGAATTATCCAACACTTTACATGACTCCCAAGCGTAGTATCAATTACATCAAACAGATAATAAATGGTAAATGGTTTAAAATCTATTCTGATGGATGTAAATGAACAAAATAAAGTGTACAATAATATATTTGCTAGAAAGTCGTAAATCGAAAACATTGAAGCATTTCACCACCCGAATTTCAAATATAGCTTGGAGTGAATCTCATGGTAATATCAATATAATTCCAATAGTGATACTTATTCCAACTCAAGGCTTCCCTTGTTCCCAAGAACTTTTCCCCATCTACAGACAAACTTGTCGCATCCTAAATCCAACTTACAACCTTTCGGTTAACTATTCGGTCGAAGCTAAGGGACAATCAGAGATAGGGTGTCATCTTTTTTTTACAAATTTGTCGCATCCTGCAGCACCCAATCCAATCCAATGCAACCTAGCCCCACTGTCATGTATCACTGGCATCAATATTTAGAGTGTTTAAAAAATGGAAAATTATTATTAGTCCCTTGAGGTCATATCATAATTATTAATGCAACCCTACATTTTCAAAAATCAATTAGTTACCCCCTAAGTTTTGATCATTCTCACTATATACCCCCTCACGTTAATATTTGTTAAATTAAATTTAACATACCTCTTATATTCAATGAAGGTTGTATTTAAATTAATTTTTAAAATATAAAACAATTTATCATCATAATTATAAGTCATTGTTGATGATCATTTGTTTTCTACTTAACTACTCGATCATGGAGTAACAATTAACGAGAGTAATGTAGTTAAGGGGAAGACTCACGAGTCATATTCATGGGATACATAAAAAGAATCATATGTAAAATGTGTTATCAAAATTCTAGGCACTTCTTCATTATGAATATACAAGTCTTATTTGTAATTCATTCAGTTGAATTAATCGCAATGACACTTCTTTCGTGTGTAGCAAAAAAGAAATACCAAGATTTGTTTATCATTCCATGACCTAAAATATAGATTTAGTATCAATAAGGGAAATAAAAGACGAAATGTGTGATGATTATTCCAATTATTCCATGATCTGAATAATTGAAAGCTATCAATCTAAGACCTAAAATATCATAGATTTTAATTTATTTAAATTTTTTATTAACTACGATCAACAACAATGACTTATAATTATGATACTAATTTGTGTTTTACATTAAAAATTAATTTTATAGACAATTTTCATTATTGAATTTAAGAATTATATTAAATTTAAATTTAACAAATATTAACATGAGGGGGAAACGAACGAGAATGATCCAAAGTCAGGGGGGTAAGTAATTGATTTTTGAAACTGGAAGGTTACATTAATAATTATGACATAACCTCAGGGGGTTAATAATAAATTTCCCTTAAAAGTTAACAACTTTTCCTTAAATTATTATACTTAAAAGCAAAAAGATGGAAACAAGTGGATGGATCTTCTAAAATATTTTTTACTTTTTCTATCTTACAAAAAACACTTTTCTACCAAACACTTTGTTATTTTTTTTTGTTTTTTTAAAGAACAATTTTATCAAATATCGTTAATTTTTACTATTAAGCATTTCCTCGAAAATTACTCTAAAAAATTGAAGTAACCTCAAAAAAGTCCTTAACTTGACACTCACCCACAGGAGCCTCAAACTGGATCCAGATTCTCGACCTGACTTTGACAATCAGGTACGGTGCGTGTAGGGATGACAACGGGGCGGTTCGGGGTCGGGTATACCATTACCCATATCCGCCCCGTTTGATAATATTTTTCCCCGAAACCGCCCCGTTACCCGTCGGGTATTTTTTACCCGGGGGTAACGGTTTTCTCCGCGGGTAACCGTTTTATTAAAAGGTAATTTTTTTTCTTCAAAATTAGTATAAATCCTAAAATGATGATTAACTACTTATAATTGACCACCTAAATTAAAAAAATTAAAATTAAATAGCACCACTTGTTTTATTAAAAGATAATTTTTTTCTTCAAAAATAGTATAAATTCTAAAATGATGATTAATACTTATAATTGACCACCTAAATTAAAAAAAATCAAAATTAAATAGCACCACAGATAATTTTTTTTAAAACATCACAAAAATTACATCTTTTGAACCTAATATTCACAAATTATATATGTCTAGATTCAAAATTATGAATCTCTTACCACATCAACATCAAAAGATTAAGTCTTGTCTCGATAGTAAAATGTAAATATGAATCACAAAAACATTTAACTTCCAAAAATTCAATAATCATACCCCGCCAGCATTCAATATATAAATTTAAGAACAGTAATGTATACAAGTAACATAATGAAAATGAGAAGTTTTCCCCCTGAAATATTACTAATAAAAAATATATGAACATAAATGTGATTATAAGTTATCATGGATACGTTTTATAGTCACTACGATATAACACTTGAATAAAATTATAAACACTAAAGTTACTATAGTCGCATTTTTGTCCACAACTTTTATTTTGATTATAGATTTAGAATTATTTCTAAAAAATGTACTTCTAATACTATGATTTAGGTATTCTTGTAGTTACTGTTGTAGAATTCTCATAATTTAAATTTAAAACTTGATATAAATTAGAGCAACCAATCAAAATTAATCTAATCATCCAATACACCTCTACAAAATTATTAGCAATTACATAAATTAAAGCAATCTAGAGTAATGTTTCCCAATATTTAGACTTTAAACTCATATGTGAGCTTTATGAAAGTTATTGGGTGAAAAATTAAGAGAGTCACAATGTGAAAATTGTGTACAGAAAATCATGAAAATCAAATACTCCCTTCGTCCCTAAATAAAAGCATCTGTTTCCTTTTCGGGCCGTCCCTAAATAAAAGTTCCCTTTCCTTTTTGGTAAACAAAACAGTGCAAAACAGTGCCAAACAGTGTCCAAACAGTACCAACCAAACCCACTTTCTTAAAATGTGTGGAAAATGAATGGATACTTTTATATAGGGATGGAGAGAGTAATCAATATGTGAAGAAAATAAATCTTGTAGAAGTTAACAAAGGAAGGATGATGAATGAAATTGAAAATTAAAAATCTAAAACAGTGAATTTTGAGTACCAACTCCTCAGAATTGCAAATGATAGCCGATTAGTTGAATATTTTTCAAAAAAAATAGAGGGAATAAGTGTCATATACTAATGTAATACTATTCATATATACTTAATATATTAAATAATAAATACATAAACTATTAAAATATGTAAGTTAATTGTGTGGGTCGGGTAATAGTGCGGGTAACCGTATCCAAATTAAACGGGACGGGTAACGGGACAGGTAGGTAAAAACTCATAACCGCCCCATTACCCGTTTACATAAATCGGGTATTCCCCGCCATGTACCCATTACCCTAGGTGCGTGACTTTAATAGCAGCAGAAATCAATTTTCGCAGCCCCACAACTCTTCCCCTGTTGGAGGATCCAAAATCCCTTGATTGATCCACCTATAATGTGACCGACCATTCACAATCAGCACTAGTTGCCAAGACAAATAAAAAGTTCTCATGCGTTCTTCGGATTGATGAATATTAAATGCATTAAAGTTATGTGTCAATTAAAGCGAGATTATCGTTGAATCGTTTATTACAAAGATATATGTGTCTTTCATAATTGTTGAAGTTTGATAAGATAAGATCTACTTGATTTGATTTAGTTTTAAACAAGAAAGCAACTTGCTATTCTTCCCACGTTTGAGCGTAGATTGTGCACGCACCACATCTTCTATGGTCCTAAACATTTTGATCAAGAAACAGGTAAAAGTAGTTTCAAGAAAAGGAACGACAGAAATTAAAAAAAAAAAAAAGAACTAAATTCAAAAGAAAGAAAGAGAGATAGAAAGAAGATGAAATAAAGAGCAAGAAAGATACATTCCCAGAGATGTGGCTTCCAAGAGCAAAAGGAAGCCCAAAGGGAAGGCAGGCGGGTGGAAATGGACTGGTTGCCGTTGCCATCGACAAAGACAAATCCAGCCAATATGCCATCAGATGGACGACTGATAATTTGGTCTCTAGGGGCCAAACCGTCATTCTCATCCATGTTGTCAACCCTGCTACAAACAGGCAGCAATTAGATAAACACATCAAAGATTTGTTCCTCACTTTCCATTGTTTCTGCACCCGCAAGGATGTAAGTTGATTCGTTTTCAACCTTTGTTCTTATTCAAATTTGATTTTCATCCTTCAAAATTTCTGATAGGATGAACATGATTTGTCTGCAACATAGGTCCAAATAGTTGTATTTTTACTAAAATATGACGTTTTCCCTGCAACATAGGTTCTAGTTCTGTTATCTGTATAGATGCATTTTAGTGTTCAACAAATTAATGCTCGGAGTACCTGTAATTGTCTTGACCGTTTAATGCAGATACATTGCTTGGACATTGTAGTGGACGACAACAACATAGGAAAGGGATTAGCGGAATACGTTTCCAAAGCAGCGATCGAGAATCTGATTCTTGGGGCGTCCAGGCACAGTTTTCTCAAGTTAAGTCCATAACATTTTGCTTTATTATTACTAGCTCCTCTGATAAGATTTAGAATAGATGAAATAAATGAATTTATTGAATTGGTTTGATAGTATTAAGGGATAATATAAGCTCTCTGAAGGGTTGATTTTCACATGGATGAATAGTTGAATACGTTAATTGAAGGTCCCTAGAAATTATTTTGATTTTGGTCATTACTTGGTTTGATTTTCGGGGCTATAGGAGATTGAAGGTGACGGATATCCCTACTCTAACTTCAAAGGCGGCACCGGATTTTTGCACCGTTTATGTAATTTCAAAGACAAAGATCTCCTCAGTCAGAAATGCCTCTCGTCCAGCCCCTTTTGCTTCCCCTCTTTACAACCAAATTCTTCAGATACAAGACCAGTCTCACAGCAATCCTGCGACTCCTGATTTTCGACCTAAAAATGTTCCCAGTATGAGAGGTCGGTTTTCTACACTGTTCTTAATTGATTAATGTAGTAGTTGTGCTTTTTTTGTTCTTGTTGTGATTTCGTCTCAATATTCTATCAGGATTCGATGAAAAACACCTGAGATCTTTCAAGTTAGACGAATGTGAATCGGTCAGGTCATCATTTGATAGAGGGAGATGCATTACGAGGAGGGCGTTTGGGGAGGAGTCAGATACAGATTTGTCATTTGTGAGCTCCGGCAGGCCAAGCAGCGATCGGATCTCGTCTGTGTTTAATGATGCTGTTGAACCAGGCCGGATCTCACACGTGTCGTCAAGCTCTGATGGCAGCTATGGCTCCGGCCGTCTTGGAAGAGGAAACACTGATTTATGTTCCTTTACTGACTTCTCCTCTTCATCTCTTGAAAATGTAAGACAAGTTAATTACAAGCTTAATGTTTCATTGTAATAGATAAGGTAAGCGTTCAATTTGGAACCATTACAGGACGATGTGGATGCTGAGATGAGACGGCTGAAACTGGAGTTGCAGAAGACCATGGATTTGTACAGCACTGCTTGCAAAGAAGCATTAACTGCTAAGCAAAAGGTACACTGGAATTGAGTATTTTTTTAATGTTCATTTGCATATCATAAGATGTGGATTAATTGATTTTATATAGGCCGCAGAGCTCCAGCGGTGGAGGATAGAAGAGGAGAAGAAGTTTGAAGAGGCTCGACTCATTGAAGAAGAAGAAGCGAAGATGGCTGAACACAATGGAAAATCCAAATCAAGTATGTCAACAGGTACTGAAAGAGCTGGGGCCGAAAATGAAAACAGCAATAATAGGATCACTTTAAGATATAGGAGATACAATATTGAAGACATAGAAGAAGCAACAGAGCATTTCTCAGAATCTAGGAAGATCGGGGAAGGAGGATATGGCCCTGTATTTAAATGTTATCTTGATCATACCGTGGTTGCTGTTAAGGTCCTACGCCCTGATGCTGCTCAAGGAAGGGAACAGTTCCAACAAGAGGTATGTCATGAGATTATACTTCTTTCTTTAAAAATTGGTGGTCTTGTACATAAATATGGCACATGAAATAATGTTGGTACCAAAACTATAGCACACAAAATTATATTACACGAAATTATATTGTAATAAAATAGATATGTAATTTTTTTTTGGAATTACGTATCATTTAATAATCTTCAAATAATCAGTGTAAAAATATTCCTTTAATAAATTTTAAATATTCAGTGTAAAAATATTAATTTTACAAATGCCTGTTAATTGTATATAGGATAGTTTTAAAGCTACTTTTAATTGTGTCGTAAATAATTTGGTGCCCCCTAAATAGTAAGGAGTACTATTTCATTGTAATACTACATATTTATTTTATAAACGTTGCTTCATTTTGACAATTAATTTAAAAGCTACGGAGTATTATTTAGACTAATCTTATACACGTAGAATGAAAATTACATTTATGACCCATTTTGTACAAATCTTATACTCATAATAATTACATACTTAATGTATCAAAATAATATTTCAACAATATTTCAATAGTACGCTGTATGAGTTTAAAGATGATACAGATATGAAGTATTATTTTATAATTTTGATATGGTAAATATTTTTCTCACTAATAATAATATAATATATACTCCATATCAAATAAGATGTAGTCATTATTTATATGATTGGGTTTTGATCACTTGTATTAACTACGCTGATGGCCAAATGTGCTTTCATGAGAAATGCACTTGTGGACATGACTTTGTCATCCGTGTAAGCAGATTCGGCTTGAAAGTTCATTGTGATATGAAGTACTTATTGTAAACAGTTTTGGAAACTGAGGTCACTGTTATGAAACAATAAAAACCATTAGGTAACAAATAAGCTAAAAACCCTTGATGTAATCAAGTAAAGATTCATATTTCATATGATGTTGCCTGTGACAAAGGTTGAGGTGCTAAGTTGCATGAGACATCCTAACATGGTACTACTTCTTGGAGCCTGCCCAGACTATGGCTGTCTGGTGTACGAATATATGGCCAATGGAAGCTTAGAAGACAGACTAATGAGACGAGGAAATAGACCTGCACTCTCATGGCAAGTCAGGTTTAGGATTGCTGCAGAGATTGGCACAGGACTCTTGTTTCTCCACCAGACCAAACCGGAACCAATAGTTCACCGCGACCTCAAACCAGCTAATATCTTATTAGACCAGTACTACGTGAGCAAGATCAGCGATGTCGGGTTATCAAGACTGGTCCCACCTTCAGTATCTGAAGGTGTGACTCAGTTGCGGATGACATCCGCTGCTGGAACATTTTGCTACATCGATCCTGAGTACCAACAGACAGGCATGCTTGGGGTAAAATCTGATGTTTATTCCTTTGGGATCGTGCTTCTCCAGCTGCTAACAGGTAAGCCTGCAATGGGAATATCTCATCACGTTGGACGGGCCATTGAGAGTGGAACATTCGCAGACATGTTAGATCCTGTTGTGCCTGACTGGCCAGTTGAAGAGGCACTGGTTATGGCAAAATGGGCTATACAGTGTGCCGAGCTGAGGAGAAAGGATAGACCAGACTTGGGGAAAGAGGTCATGCCGGAGCTTAATAGGTTGAGAGAATTAGCAGATGAGAGTATTAGCCAGTTCTTGCTTAATGGCTTTGCAGTTTTGTCCCCCACACAGAGTCAGGCTTCCATGGCAACACAAGTAAGTCACTTGTTTTAGTATAAAAAACGGATAAAAGTTAATATTTCATTGGGTAATTCGCTTTTATACTCTCTTAGTTTTACCCATTTTAGTTCTTTATTGGCTAATCCCGCACTGTACCTTTTGGTGGTGGTTTTAGTCCCTTTATTTGGTAAAAAGGACAGGGTCATGTATGAAGATTTATCACATGGAGCAATAAATCTAGAAAACCGTTTTTACCAAAACTCTGAGGGTCTTAGTATGTGTGGTTGACATGCAGGAAGTATTAAGCAACTCACAAGTACACTCAGAAATCAACAATCCAATGAGTGTATCAAACTCATCAATGTCAACAGAAAATCAATCAGGTACTCATATATATTAAGAAGCTCATTTGGCTAAATTTTTTATCTAAGATATACATAGCATATTTTACTTCTCTATGTGCTCATTGATGGTGCTATTGATTTTCAGGACCTGCTCAATGATTCAAAGTCATACATCTTAGTTATATATTGACTTTATTGCTTCCAGTTTTGTATGGTACAGAGGAAATAGGAGAATGCTCAAGCTTAGAATAGCATTGCAACTGATATGATATGTACGAAGTAACATATAACCAAATCTCTACATCAGAAGATTGGGTAGGGTGTTAGTGTTTTATAAGAAACATCTGTGGTAGAGGAAGAAGAAATATAACCAAATGTTTCTTTGATAAAAAACATCTTTGGAAGAGGAAGAAGAAATATAACACTGATGTTGAACTTGTACGTAGTAGCTCAGAACAAATGATTGGAGCATGAATTCGTTGATTTGTTGTATCATTTTTTTTTACTTTTATGTTTTCAAAAAGCGGCTCTCCACTATTGGTCTCTCTGCACTTCCCCTTATTATAATTTTGTAACATTGTCAGTTTGGAACCTTTACCTTTGTATAATATATATGTGGTAGAAGGGTCCCCAGAATTTTGACTCGGGGGAAATTAATATGTAATCATACTGTGACATAGTGTTTGTTGCAGATTTTTTGAGTTTTTTCCACTTTTAGTCCTCCGACTATTATGTCATTGACATTTTTGGTACTCGACTTTGATTTTTTCCATTTTTAGTCCTTGACTATTGCGCTAGAGACACTTTTGGTACCCGTTTTTGAAAATTTCCATATTTAGTCCTTCAACTTTTATAAAAGTGACACTTTTGGTCCTCCAACTATTATAATAGTGACACTTTTAGTCCTCCACTTATTGTGTTAAAATCATAATGAGAGGACTAAAAGTGTCAATTTGACAATACTCAGGGATTAAATGTGGGAAACCTTGAAGTCGGGGACTAAAAGTGTCTCTAGCTCAATAGTCGAGGACTAAAAATGTAAAAATTAGAAGTCGAGTACCAAAAATGTCATTGACATAATAGTCGAGGGACCAAAAATGTCATTGACATAATAGTCGAGGGACCAAAAATGACAAAAACTCCAGATTTTTTTAAGTGCATGATCTCAACTTATATCATGAATTAAATTGAGATATCTATCATTCTATCTATAAATTTGTGTATCTTTTAAATAATTATTTGGCTAGTACAATATACATAGTAAACCATATCTACATATATGAATATATGAAGAAAAAAAATTAAAAAAATACTATAATATTTAAATATCTTTATGCACTTACTGCTTGAAGTGTTCAACATTTTAACCATGTACACTAGTGTCCCTTAGCTTGTATGTTGTCACTCGTGTTTCACACTTTCACCTATTTGGTTCATTTACCATTTTACACCCACAAAGATGACATAGGAGAAATTAAGAATTCTATGTGACAATGAAAAAAATGCAAAGGATTAATATTAGGCAATTTCTATGGTACCTTGAAGGTATGGTACCTTGATGGTATGGACCAATCAAAGAATTTCAATTGAACAAGTTAAATGCAAATAAAATGTAAACATTTGAGTTCGACTAATGAAATGCATCCTAGGTACGGTACTCTCCTATTTCTGTTGGGTACCATAGCACCTTAATATTAAAACAATTGAAATTCGACCAATTGACTTTTTGGCCCCATGTGGGTGCTTCTTAGGTAATCAGAAAGTGGATGTCTCATGACTCTCATCCAAATTTTTGAAAATTAGAATCAATATAATGTAATCCCTCTGTTCCTAAATAAACTTCCAATTTTCCTTTTTCATCCGTTCCAATTAAAACTTCCACTTTCCCTTTTTAGTAAAAAATTTGTGGTTCACAACATTTCTTACACATTTCTCTCTCCTCTGCACAACTCTCCACCACACAATACCCACTATCTTAAATTCTATGCCAAACCTATTTGGAAGTTTTAATAGGAACGGAGGTAGTAGTTTCTAAAATTGGTTTTACCCTTGCCATTGAAGTATAGAGATTAACTTTAATTTAGCATATAAAACTGAAGGGAGTTAGTTTAACAAATATAGAATGCAAAGGTTCACACATTACATTTTTTTTAGAAATTGGCCAATATAGGAGTAAATATAAACATAATTGCACAAATAGGAGTAAAACTTAAAACTTCCTTCAATAGGAGTAAACATTAATTTTGTACCCTTAATATCCCTAACGTAGTTAATTCTAAAATATGACTTATTTAATCATAACCTAGTTAATTTATGACTTATTCGATAATAATAATTTATTTATTTATTTATTTTTCAAAAAATAAAAAAATATAATTTTATTTAAAAATTAAAAAACTAAAAATAAAAATAAAAAACACCGCCGCCTCTGTTGCCTCAGCACCACCACCTCCAGTCACCAGGGGGAAAATGCCAAGTTCATTACGAATGCCATATTTATGGCAGAAAACAATGAAAATGTTGGCATTCGCAAAGAGAAATATGCCATGTTTTTGGCATTTTCAGAAGAAAAAAAAAGCAGTTTTTAGGAGAAATGGATTTTTTTTTCACCGCCCGGAGGTGGTGGTGCAGGGAGGTAGTACAGGCGGTGGGAAAGGCATCCATATTTTTTTTAATTTTTTTATGGAGTTTTACTATTTTTTATTTTTTAAAAAAAATTTAAAATTTTAAAAAATATGTTTTTTTAATTTTTTTATTTTAGTAATATTTTATAAATTTTTTAATTATTTTTCTACGATTTTTTGAATTTTTTTCGAATTTATTATGAATTAAACATTTAATTAAAAGTTGTTGGGGCTTGGGAAGGGGTATATTTGTCCAAACACTAAAGTTACTCCTATTCAAAATATGGTACTCCTATTTTTGCATTTTGCCTATGTTTTGCTCCTATTTAGGGAATTTTCTCTTTTTTTTTGCTCTCAACGGCAATGGATTTCTATTTTTTCTTATTTATCTTTCCATAATTACACCTTTTCAATATTAACCATTAACCAAATGAAGTAGAAGTTATTCTCATTTGCAAAGGAAGGCTCTACAACGGCCACAATACCGTAAGGGAAAGGAACCCAACGGCCAGGAGGTCCTCGCACTAAACCCTTGATGATAACCCTTTGAAAGCGACCTACGTCCAAGGGTTCTCTCACAGGGTTACCTTGGTCAGGAAATCGCCAAAGGGTTGGATCCAAGGGCAGTATGAGGATCCCACTTCGGCCTAGGTTTCAAGCTACTCCTTCACCCCTCACTCACTCTTCAGTCTGAAGCTGTGGGGGACTACTCCGACCTCAAGGATAGCAGGCAAAATGAGAAAATAAAAACATACTAAGTCCACAACTACAACATCAGACATGCACCACAACGTCAATAACATCGTGGTGCACCATCGGCCGCGGCGAAGCTTGAGATCACGGGACACTTATCGGCTTCAAGACCACACGCCACTCTCAGCCAGGAATCAAAGAATAGGAGGCTAACGTACCTGGATCACCATCGTCCATGTACCACAACGGCTCCAAGGTCCTCACAACTCCATCTCCGGCCAGATAAGGTTATCACCCCCCAAAACCTTGGGCAACAAGGCGCCTTGTCGCCCAAAGGCACATGGTGTCATCAACAACGGCCAAAAGGAGTGCACAGCACCCTCACCGGCGAAAAGGAGTGCACAGCACCCTCACCGGCCACCCAAAACAAGACGTAACCCCAGCGGCCTCATCAGCCCGAAAGGAAAGTTCAACCATCAACGACCAAAGATAGACACTACCTTCATCGGCCACTCATACGAGAACGCTCATCATCCACAAACAAAGCGTACCAAAGGAATAACAGCTTTCCCCGTCCGCATCAAGGGGTAGGTAACGGTCAAACTCAGAACAGGGCCATCAAATGCCGCGACAGAGAACGGCCAGCGGGATCCCGGATCGGCCAACAGCATCAAGCACAGAAATCTACTCTCCTTCACTTCGTCTGCATCTCAGCTTAGAGAGTGGGGGACTCCTGATGGAGTATATGGGTCTAGGCCCCAGGACCCACATACTCAGAAGAACAGAAAGTACAAGCCAACTAGGATGCCCTCGTCGGCCAAAGGATCCCCGTCGGCCGAAGAGGAACCAACTCAGAATATGATCCTAAAGCCAGGGAACTGGGGTGTCTCCGTCGGTCGTGTCCTCTTCGGTCGTGCCCTCGTCGGTCGTGCCCTCGTCGGTCGTGCCCTCGCCGCCCACGGAAGCCTCGCAGAACCGGATTTTACACTTACTCATTTATTTACTCCATCATTTACTTTGTATTCGGCCCAATAGCGGTCCAGTTGTAAATGGGCCTCCCAAGCCCAAGGCTTGGGAGCCCAGTCCGTATTTTTCTTATAAATACTTCCTCTGGAGGTAGTTGTAGGGGTTACAAAATCATTCTATTGAAGTATTTACTTGCACTTCTCTCTCTAACTCTCACTTCTCTCTAGATATGTACCCTATCAATCTCAAAGAGAAATATGCCATGTTTTTGGCATTTTCAGAAGAAAAAAAATGACATTTTTTAGGGAAAATGACATTTTTTTCACCGACCGGAGATGGTGGTGCAGGGAGGTAGTAGAGGCAGTGGGAAAGGCATCCATTTTTTTAATTTTTTAAAGGAAGGGTAAGAATGGAATGAAAAAATAGGTATGTTACCAATAGGATTAATATGATCCTATTTTAAAAAGAAAAACATAGTACTCGTAAGTCCTATTTTGTGTTTTTGTCATAGTTTTAGTCCTATTTGGAGTAATTTCTATAAAGACGGAGTTCAAGTTTGAGTTGAGTTCCAGTTGAGACGAGAAATATGTAGTTTAGTTCGAGTTATAGTTTTATCTATTCTAGAAATAATATGTTTATAATTAAAGAGTTTGATTTGATATGTCTTGCCAGTTGAATTTTATAAATCATAAAATCAGAAAATCATTTGACTGTCTCCCCAGTTGAATTTTTATAAATAAATTTTCTGATTATCAAATCATTTGACTCAAATATTCTGATAATCAGAAAATTTATTTATAAAATAAAAATATGTTTTCCCAGTATATTTTTATTAAGTCACATTCATTGTTGTCTGAACGTTCTTCTAAACGATTTGATTTTATCTTGTAAAGAACGTAAGCATGTAGTAAAAATGGAATCAGAAGTACTTATCTCGAACTCATTATCATATATGTGCATCAATTGTCGGATAATGATGATGAATGTGAGTAGGCACCCATCTTTTATTGTTGTATATGGATCGTTGGCGTGATGTTAATTGAGTTAATTTTGCAAAATTTTTGGACCTTCAAGTGTAGCGTTGACCATCTTTGACTTGAAGCTTCCCCCTCTTTTGACCTTCAAAAATGACCGCTTGTCCGCAACATATATCAAGTCTCAACTTGACTGCCTAATTCTTTAGTTTGTGTGATGTGTATACAGACAATTTGACCGACGTGTAACCCGGTGTGTACACGAAGCGAGAATCTAATAGATTTATGATGACAACTTATTTGTTTGAGGCATATATGAAGTCTTAGCTTCACTGCTTAATTCATCAATTTATGTGATGTGCATTGTTTTATAACTTTATTGATTGAAACTTTAACAGGTATATGATAACAACTTACTTGTTTGAGACCAACTAATGATAACAAGTACTTAATCCCTAACTCATTGTAATGATAACTTAACTTTTATAATTGAAAACGTATGTGAAGTTATCAAGTATCGGTTTCCTCAGTATCGTGACATTTGTTGTCTTATTGTCACAATCATTAGTTGGTCTATGATCATATTTGAACCCTCAATTGCACTATCTAATTCCATGCATAAATGGAAATTTTAAAGTGAGGCCTTATTTTAAACATATTATACAGAAATCAACTTTTTTACAAAAAAAAAGTTACTTTCTCTGTGTATATATAACTACCGAGTAAACCTAATCACACTTGATACTACAATTGTACTAGTCAAAAATAAGTTCCAGATGTACTTTTACAAAAAAAAGATAAGCATCCGTTTATGATGCAACTTAAACTTATTATATCAGCTGGTCCATTAACATGATTCGTTGCACCTTGAACCCCAAGTCTAACACATTTACTAAATCTTAGCTAGACAAAATCTGTGAAATGAAAAAAAAAATAGTTCAAGATACTTATTGTATCCTAATATCATCATGGATTTTAAAATCAATATTCTATTTTTGGGAAAAACTTTTTTTTTTTTTTGCAAATCCAACCTATTATAGTATATGTTCTGTTAAAGCCAACATCCTTTGAAAAACATGTTAAACTATATATGAAGAATTAAGGAAGATTAAAAAACAAAATTAAAGAAACAAAAAACATGTATCAAGCTTTAAAAGCATAAAACAATGGCGAAAACCGAAAAGCCATCAGCTTCAGCAATATCAAGATACAAGTAAAACTTTGTACGCAAGATTGGTCTAGTAGTTTAACAAAGAGGAATATCATCTCAGATATAGGGATTTTAATTGAAGAAGGTATTTTACTAGAAAATTTTAAGCTTCAAGGTTTATATGTGATTTGTCAAATGCAGCATGAGACCTAAAAACTCCCTTAAGCTCAATATCAATGCTTCATATATACTTGATTACGTTAATGGAGGAGCAGAGCTAAGATCTTCCCTAATTGTTGTTTAAAGATTGATAGACGAAGGCTTCTCCAACTTCATCATTGAACCGATTCAACCAAAGCGATCTCATTCATTCACAGAGATGTCATCTAAAGAAGGTGGAAGGTCTTGATTGAGAATTTGAAAAGGCTATCTACGACGTAAGGTTCAAGTTACACACACATTTCAGGAAGACAAGAAGACAACTGTAAAACGCATTTCTTAGCTAAATATCATCCTTTTGGTTCAGATATTATGTCTTCTACTCAAGCTAGGCATTTGCCTTTGAGAAAAAACTTTATTTATGAACAGCTATGTCTTTCATATTCAAAATTTCATATTATGCCTTTCATATTCAAAACTTCATTGTATTTACGGGTAAAGATTGGCCCCCCATTGCGTACTTTCCTTATCTTTTTAATAATAAAATGTTAAGTGTTCTCAATTTACTCAAACGCTTACGCAACTAGTTTTGGTGGTTTGTCTGCCAAGTTCAAAAAAACTCAGGATACAAGTCCACAAGCAATCAGCAAAAAGAAGCAGTGGAAAAGGTAAACAAATATGCAATCTTTGAGGGAAAATCGTTCAATACACAAAATCCAAGTGAGGAAAGAAGTAAATGAAAGGAAGAAAATGAGTCAAAAGTTGCGATATATCTAGAAGTGAGCCAAAAAAGACCGAACACATCTTCGCTCTTCAAACCACAATGCCACTGCAGTGCAGCTGTTATAACTCAATACGTGAACCACAACGGTTTATACTTTATAGCCGGCTTGATGGTACATCAAAACAAACCCAACACGCTCTCATTGGATTGCAGTTTGTCTTTCACTTGCATCATCATGTTCAACCTAAACGGGAAAGAGGAAGAACAGCAGATAAGAGGACTGCACTTCACAACAAAACAGGGTTGCATTAATATGTGTTACCTCAACAAGCACTTTGGTTTTCTTCTTAGAATATGCACTTAGGTCGTCTCTCCTATGCTTTTTCGAACCCAAGCCAGGCTTCTTAATCCTTTCATGAAATGCAACGGCCACCTCTTCATCATCGTCCAATCCAGCTACCAAATCAACCACATGCAAGCTTAATTAGAATATGAACACCATAACACACTAAAGAGCATAGCATAGTAAACATTCCTAAATGAATATTGTAGGTTGATAAGCATAAGCTTCATCCCAATGTAGCAATAAGTTAGCCACAAGCAATGTTACAAAAAGAGCCCTAGCGTGCAGGCAGGGGCCCAGCACCAATTCAGGGATTAATCAGAGTTAAGGAGATCTAAGTGTGATCAGAAAAGAACTAAATGGGAAAAAAATAGGCTTCAAATAAGAGACTTGTATATTAATAGAGTTGAGGCAGAGGTTCTAATACAATGAGTTTAGGCTATAGGAGCTAAAATCTAGCATTCAAACACTTTAGAATTTCGTCTGGTAAATAACTCAGTTTTTGTTCAAGCATGAATTATTGCATTTTCATCTATGTCTACAAAAGCAGATGACATAATTGTATGGGCAAGCATTCTTCAGGAAAAATTACATCATTAGGCATTCAATTGTTTTACCTTCATCAACTCCTGCATCCGCATCTTCAATTGCCCTGCCACCAAGGTCTTCAATATCATCCACCTCTTCTAGGTCTTCATAACCTTCAACATACTCTACCTCATACTCCTGAATAAACAAATGATTCCCAAAAAAGAGAAATGTGACAAATCAAATAGTGTAATGCGACACTGTAAAAGCTCTTCTTTTGAGGGGCAGGTCAGGGCAGGACAGGGAGGTGAAAATCAAATCATGAGAGGTGAAATGAATGATTGATATGATTAGATGTGTAGGCGTGTTAGAATGACCTTTTCGTCCTCTTTTTCGGCAATACTTTCTCTATCTAGAATTTCATTGTACTTCGCAACTGGGATAATGTTGACTATATCGCCAGAATAAACTCCTCTATTTAATCGTTCAAGCAGTTCCTTTTCTATGCTCTGCAGAACAGTTAATAACATTAGCAAAGGAATAAACTGAAGGCAATGAAACCAAAAAAAACTACAAAAAGTGAAACCTTTTCCAGCAAAGCTGCTTTTTCAGCCTTTTGTTCCCTACGAGCTTCTCTTTTCATCTCTTTTCTAGGTGTGGTCATTATCTTCTCTCTACTTACAAAAAACCAAGTACACGCATGTCAGTGATAGTAATATCCCATTATGAAAAAAACTAGACCCTCTTGCTAGAAAGGGAATCCTAATATAATTTTAACAAAGAGGAAAGCTTTTATTGATGGCAAAAAGGAAACGAAATACACAAGAACAAATGGTAGCTACAGAATTACAGATACCCTCCAGTTAAGATTAAATGCCCCGTAGAACAATTCCACACAATATCCATACTATTTCTAATCAAAATCACATTCCGTCTTTCGTCTAAGCAGGGTTTTATAGTCTTAAAACTCAAAATAAAGAAGGTAAGTAATAAACTAAACATCAATCAAGTACGACGACATAAAGTGATTCTTTTATAGCTCCGATTTATATGTCGATTCATGTTAGCCGACCCCAAACTCTTTGGGGACTAGGGCTTGGATGTTGTTATTGCTGTACTAAGACATAGAACCATAATCAGTGATAACTTTCCTTCATTTCTACATCATGTGAATCAGTAACCCAGCATGAAGCAGAATATTCTGCAGTTGAATGCCACTGAAAATTTTCTTGTCAATCACAAATACACATCGAGAAAAGTTTTTTATTGAAGAAAATAGCACAGCCGAGATGAAAGAAGAACAGGGTTACACATAGCACTTTTTTCTAGTTCTTGTTCATTTCTCTTGTGATTAAAATGACTTCACTTGGTCAAAACGGTATATGCATCCCATGGGTAAACATAGAAAAAATCATAAATACCAAATGTGGTATAGGAACAAACACTTCTATGAACATCTCTAAAGGAAAATGATAAAAAAATTAGATAAATATAAATGAAGCCCAGTACTAGTACTACATACTGAAGTCTCCTAACCACTAACAAAAACAGAACAGCACCAACAATAAAACATAGAAGGGAAAACAGACGACTTTATTTAAGAAGTAAAGTATTCAGAAGCCTAACTTTTAGTAAAAACTTGAAGAATCGTGCAGAAATGAATCCTACAGATAAAAACATATTACTCACACATTTACAGAGACATTACAGGCTCCTTACCGGGTTTTTAAAGCAATCTTCCTCATCCGTATTCGCATCTGAGTCATTTTAGTTAGTCTTTGTTTTATCTTGTGAAGAAGAAGTTTTGGCCAATAAACCTGTTGAGGAAAGAAAATATTTGTAAGGAGAAACAAATAAATAAATAACTAAATGTGTTGAACCTAATAACAGCAAATTACATGTCTGATTTCAGTTTAAAACCAGCACCCGTGATCATAAGTCCAATTACCAAATGTTTATCAATCACTTCAAGGGCCTTCATATAATTCCTGGGCAGCTTGACCCTTTCCCATAACTTGTTTGGCATGTGAGCCCTCTCTATAGTTTTCATGTACAAATAGAACACGCCTGAGAACAAGATAGAGAGAGGGAAGACCATTAATTGTAAGATTTTGCAACAATGAAATTATAAAAAGAAAAACAGAAAAATCTATTCCTCTCTGACAAATAGAAAATCAAATATGATACTTGGCTATCACTCTCAACTATGTGCACCATGATATTGGACTTCCAAGATGATTTTTAAGTGTCACTACAATGAAACTTTGTACAATAAATATAAGAAGATCAAATTCCCAATCAGCTGATGATTCGATTATCACTATACTCATTGATCAAAATAGTTTGTCTGTTGAGCCTTAGTGAGAATTTCAAAGACAGCACAGGGCATGACCACCCCATTGAAAAACAATCTTTTCCAAGAAAAGCAAAATTTGGAGCACTAAATTAATTTAAATAACAATCTGCTCAAGTAACTTGATTCTACACGACAGTTAGGCAAGGTAGCTGATAAAGAAATATACTGAAGTAGCGGGACTCGGGTTTTCCTTACCATCATGTTCTCTTATTGTGGCATAGCGACTATTAGCTAGAGGACAGGAGGTGCGGTTACATAAACCTGTGACGTTGTATGGATTCCGGCAAAGTATTCCTGTCTGAAGCCTAGAAAAATTGTTTTGCGTGGAGATGCAACTCAGCAATTCAAGGAAAAGATTACTCAATCTACTGAAAGGAAAACAAAGAGAGAAAAATAGAAAAAATAGACTAACTTTGCCATGAAGCTGCAGTGCTTGTGTCTGATAACTTGCCATATGACCTCATCGTGCTGCATCCTTAACTATGAGATTAACCCCAACGCCAATGCTGCAGAGAAATAGAGATTTGGAGATTACAAGTGCGGCTGGTTTCAGTTCTTTCTATACGAAGTGTTGCTCCAAGCTACAGAGCATAAAATTCAAGGCAACTCAATATGATTAAGACGAAGTAAAATGTCTACGATGAAGGAATCGAAGGCTATCAACAAAGAACGTCAAGGGGGGAAATCAGGGTTAAACAGGGACACTCTAGTAAAATGGGATGTTGGGAAGGACAATAAAAAACGAGCTGAAAGAATAAGTCAGAAAATGTATGATCCAATAAGTCACATATTAAGTCTTAAGTAAACAAAAGTGTATAGATAGGAATCATAGGATGTTTAAAGGAATGTGACTTTGAAACCATAAACTTTTGATTTTAGGGTTTTGACTTGGTAATTAGGACAGCTCCAATTTTTTCACGATTTTAGAGGTGAGGAGCTGAGATGCTTGTGAGTAGGATTGTAAACGAATCAAATTGAATGGTGAGTAATATTATTTATATTCGTATAACTTGACTATATTAGTATTCGGATATTATTCGAATCATAAATTAGATTCGTATTCGATTTGTTACTCATATTCAAATATATTTGTTTTGTTTTTGAATATTCGAATTCGAATGTTTGAAGTGTCAAAAATTTTTACCTATTCAAATTATGATGTATTGTATGTATTTTTTTCAATTTTCACAAATCATCGTTACCTTAGTGCTGCATAGACTCCCATCTACATTGGGATAAGGGAGGATCAGATGTACGCAATCATACCCATGTACTAAGAATGTTTTTACTTGGACTGTTTTCAGTAATACAGCCGCCCGAGCATCCTGGTTGGTGGCCCGATTGGTGCGGTGGACGGTCGTCTTGGTCGGTGCAGAAGTTGTCGTTGCTGTACCGGACAGCCTGGAAGTTGTCGAGAATAGAGAAGTGGAGAGTTAGAGAACAAAGATATGGTTTGAATAGGTATTTGTTAAGATGCGAGGTTCCATCCTAAAAGGTCAACCTGATAGGAGGAGTAACTCAGATCTTAATATAGTGTTTAATTCTTTTAGAGATGTCCGGTGTGGGACTTTAACACCCCTCCTCACGACCAGACATGTCACGCCCCAGACCGCATCTAAGCGTGTGTACAATCACCGTATGACCAAGTGACATCACTCACAAGTCAACGTGACTTAATCATACAAGGCGTCCATGAGCATAGTGCATACCATTTCCTCAATAAGTAAACATACATAATAACATCACAGTTTAGATTAAATGAATAGCGGAAATATTCAATAATCAATCGTGGGCCACACATGACCAAAACGTTGGCTCGCAGGCCAAAACAATGTATTCATTACATAAATATCCATGAGCATAATTTGTAGTTTAAAAACAGAAAAGGAAGCACGAAGCACGCCTTCCTTTAGATCACTCCGTCGAACAAAGGTGCAGATAGCAAGCTTTAGCTTCAACCTGAAATGGTGGGGTCCCTCAAAGGGGTCAGTACGCGAATACCGAGCGAGTAGCAGGCTAAATGTAGAATAACTAACGTTTCAAGTATATGACCCATACATAGGGTGATACATACACGTATATTCCTTTCCCCCAAGTTATGAAATACATATCATTATATACACTTGGAAATACCCGACCCGTAGGTCATTGTTTATTTGGGAAAATATTAGTAGTCGGTATCCTAGACTTAAATCTCAACCCACCCATATACCTATGAGTGTAGAGGACTCCTCCTAGTCCAAATCAATTATCATAAGGACATCGTCCGGTCCTGAATTACTAAACAGTAATCTATGAGTTTTGAGGACTGTTCAGTCCCTGGGTCCTCCACCGATTTATATTTCGAGTTTTGAGGATGATTTAGTCCCTGGGTCCTCCACCATTTATACATACGAGTTTTGAGGACGATTTAGTCCCTGAGTCCTCCGCCATTTATACATACGAGTTTTGAGGGCAGTTTGGTCTTTGGGTTCTCCACCATTTATACATACGAGTTTTGAGGACAGTTTAGTCCCTGGGTCCTCCACCAAAGATTCATTATTTTTTGGCTTGAGATTATGATGGAATAAAGCAAAATGGCTCACTAAACTGTCTGCGCTTCTTTGTTATGAAGCAGCAGTCAGTCCATGCAATTTTGGACGGGATTTTCACTATGGGTCATCCGGAAACAGTCTCTCTGTGCTTTAGTACAGGGGTAAGACTGCGTACATCCGACCCCCCCTTACCCCACCGTAGGTGGGAGCCTTTGCGGCACTGGGGTAAATGAAAATGAAATATGATCTACCACATATCATACAGAGATAGGGTCTACATCATAATCATTTATCAAGACTAAACCAAGTCTTATAGCCTAAACATTACAGTCCATGCAAAAACATGCACATAAATCAACTTCTAGGCAAAACAATACCAAATCGGTGCCAGTTCACACCCTAACCGGTGCCGGTTCACTATTAATTTTAATTAACAGTGAACCACGTACTCAAACGGGTGTCGGTTCAAGCCATAATCAGCACCGGTTGCCCCCTGGAGAACTATGGGCCTTTAGAATGAATATACATTCTCTAACTTTAATTCAGAAGTCTCCGAAATTCATTTCAGTTGTTATTTGATAAATTACCAATACTGGTAATTGGGGCTCGTTTGACCAACCAGTCAACCCAGTGCCTTTTATATGGCTCAACTAGAATATCCACCACCATATACATATTATCTAGACAGAGATGAATATATTATGTGGTCCCGGAAATATCAGGTGGTCCCCGTTCCCGACGTGGGCCCCGCGCGCAACTTAATATTCACGCAAAAAGAAATAACAAAAATTTACAACCTTGCTAATTCGTTACTCATTTCATAAGGCTTAATACATTATTTACATATAAGTAAATACACTTGGGGACAGTGTTACAAGACACTTCGTTTGGATTGTGTCGTTATTCATTTTTTCATCGGTTCGTCATTGTCATTTTTTTATAAACTTGTCATCATTTTTCATAAGGGAGCCCACACCATGGATTGATTTGGCTCTGATACCATGTTAAGATCTGGGGTTCCATCCTAAAAGGCATACCTGATAGGAAGAGTAGCCCATGTTTTAATATAGCACTTTGTTGCTTCAAACTTTTCCGGTGTGGGACTTTAACAGCCCTCCTCACGACTAGACACTTCGTCTGGATCGTGTTGTCATTTATTTATTTTTTCATCAGTTCATCATTGTCATTTTTTATAGGAGCCCACATCATGGATCAATTTGGCTCTGATACCATGTTAAGATCTGAGGTTGCTAGTCCGTATACCGTGGTACCGGCCCACCCTGGGCATCCTACTCCCGCGGCTAAACGACGTAGTATCAATTTTTAAAAAATGCTCATGCACGCGAACCAACGGCAACTCCCTCTCTCTCCCACCTTTTCCCTCCAGACTTTTTTCTCGGTTGCACTAAGTTGGTCTCTACGAATTCCAAAAAACCGTTCCCCAAGACATCTTCTTCTATGAAATCGTTCTCACAACTATTCTGGAAAAAAATTCACGAACCATCTCTGCGAACCAGCACTTGCGGAGTTCCATATCTCTGCGAACAAAAACCAGAAACTAAGTAAGGCATTAACACTATCCAAAGAAAATTTCTGAAGATAAGAGTCTGATTCGCGATGACTAGGGTTAACAGGAAATTAGTTGACAGGTATCAACTATAACACCATATCGATGATTAAACAGTGTGATTGATTTTTTATTATCAAAATATGCTTATTTTGGTGTTAAATATGTTATTGTTCTCTAAATATCAAAAGGCATGTAACTTAGAATGTATGAATAATATAATCTTAGTTTCATATTGTGCATCTGCGGAATCTGACAATATTATAAACGTTCTATGAAGCGGTTTTCCTATATGTACTACACAATACGAAATATGTAAAATATATGTTATCAGTTGTAACTTCATGTGGCTTTAGTATGTAAAATGTATGTTATCAGTTGTTATCAATATGTAAAATGTATGTTATCAGGAGTAATATATTTGGGAAAATAGTGTTAGAAAATATATTACTTGTGAGTAATGTAACTTCAATGTATAATTATGTGACTTGTGTATAATAGTGTGTATGTCGTGTGCATTAGTATGACTGCAACCAAGTCCAGTGTACATTGATTAACAACTTGTGAGTAATGTAACTTCAATGTATAGTTATTTAACTTGTGTATAATAGTGTGTAACTCGTGTGCATTAGTATGATGCAACCAAGTCCAGTATACATTGATTAACAACTTGCGAGTAATGTAACTTCAATTAGTAGTTATGTAACATTCATATAATAATATGCCACTCGTGTTAGAATTTATGTAAACTTTTTATCATAAAACATCCACAGTGCAAAAAGGGAATGTTCAAATGTATTTGTGTGATGTAAACGTTTCTTAACAACTATGTAAACCGTGTAGAATAACATGTCACTCAACTATAATTCTTAATGTTGTTTTGCATGACACTAGGAATACAAGGAGTGTTAGCTCAAAATGAGAATCCTCAAACAGAAAATCAAGATGAAGTTATTCCAAGAGGACAAAGAGAAGAACCAATCCTAATGCTGGAGTATCATAAACCAGAAACAAGCAAAAAAAGAAAATTACCTCCAAAAAAGAAAAGGTAAGTACCTGAAGAATCAAATGATGAAAATGAAGAGGAAGAGAGAAGCAACAGGTCCAGTTTTATCAACCTAAGAACAAGAGTAGGACCAACTCCTTTCCTAAAGTTGATTAAACAGCTAGATGATAATAAAAAAGCAGCAGTGCAGTGGATTGGCTTTGGAGGCTTACTCCATCTAAATTTTGATAGATTCTATGGAGACTTTGTTCAGTTTCTCCTTGAAAATTTCAGACCAATTTCCGGATAACTACAACTCACGAACGATGAGTTGTTAGATATTGAAGATCAAGATGTCAGAGCAGTATTTGGGTTGCCAATGGGGACTGTTGATGTTCAAGAAGCCAATGGCAAACATGAAAGTGAAGAATACAATGAATTACTAAAGCAATGGAGAGAAGAATGGGGAAATGATAAAGAAAGCCCTGAAACAACAAAGATGATTCAGAAACTGGTTGAGGATCAAGACTCTGGAGATCGCTTCATCAGAAATTTTGTTGTCTTTACAGTGTCATGCCTCATAAGAGGCAACCAGAGTACCAGGAGCAACTTCAAAATATTGTTGTCTTTAGTGAAAGTTGAATATATTAAGAATTTGAACTGGTGCAAGTACACTAGAAGGTCACTGATGGATGCTGGTGAAGAATGACAGGTTTCATCCATCAAGGATGTTTACTGGACCATTTCTATTCCTTATGATTTGTTACTTTGACACATAGTACAATTCAAAGGACAAGTCTTGGATACAGTTTACCCAACTTTAAGAATCTGTGACAAAGAGAAAATTGATAAAAGAATCAAAGATGAGAGGAAGTTAGGATTTCGTCGGGGCAAGGTGATGCCAAGAATAATGTCAGTGAAAGAAGCAGAAGAACAAGAAGAGAGAGAAGAAGAAAAAGATGAAGAAAAAGAAGATGATGGAATGGTGACAAAGGAGGTAAAGTTTCATTTAACACTATTTGTGATTGAAGAATAAACATGATGTAACAGTGTGTGTAAAACAATATAACTTGTATGATTCAAAATGTAACCTTACATAGTGTGAATTGTGCACCATACACTTATAATTCCAATACAATGTAAACCACAACTCTGAAAAATGTAACTCGTTCCATTAAACATAAAATCTCTACAAGTTCAAAATTTAAACTGAAATGATTGTTTATATAATATATTTTACTGAATGTGATACAATGTTTTCTAATATATTTTAATTATTATAAGACTGTGTGAAGGAGCCTGTTGCAGTGGCACAAAAGTTCAATGATGCTTTCATCGAATTCTCAAAGCTACCATCAACAATCTCAAAAAATTCCCAAATTCTGATATCTTGAAAAAAATATACCTCACAACAGCAGCCTACTTCATTCGCTAAACTAATGGCAAATAAAAGGAACCTGAGAAAGAACGATTGGCAGAGATGTGTACTCATGAGGAAGATGACGAGGTTTTCAATGAACCTAGGGTTCATGGAAGCCCTAAAAAACTTGAAAAACAACATTTCTGAAATTTGCAATGCCATCATTCGATCTTGGCATTGACTTTAGCATGTCTCAACCTGAAAAAAGATGCTGACATGGGTGCTGAGACTGAAAAAGGAATGAATGGAGGAGAAGAAGTGCTGATAGAGGCTCGTGGACATGTAGCACATGAAGTTGAAGAAGATGAAGAAGATAATCAACCATTGGTAAAGAGGTTGAAGCTAAGGTAAAAACAACAATTGAGAATCAATGGAATTTCAGATCACCGCATCTGATGTGGAACAGGAGACTATGCAAGGAGATGAGCAAGGAAGAAAAGATTGTCATAAACTATGACTTCTCAAAGGAAGCTGGAAAGTAAGAAATGCTTTTGTTATTCGTGTGAATAAAATGTAACTACAGTAGTAGAAAATGTAGCCTCACATTATATCAGATGTATATATAAGTCATCGGATTCCATTTTGATGTATAATAATTTGTGTTATTGTGTTAGTGAGTTGCTTTATCAAGACGGTGAAGGAATGTTCATCTACCATTAGGAGTTCCAGACCCTGCAAGAAGACATGGTGGATAACTCAATAATAGATGCTTGGGTCAAACTGCTGAATGACAGAGAACTCAATAACAATCCTCCAAATCGTGAACTCATTTGTTCTACCATGGTCTATGTATGTATAAATTTTCTAGAAATTTCATAAAATAAAATAAAAAAACTTATTCTCATGTGTTTAAATCAATGTGAATATGCAGACACAATTCCTGCTGGGGTATAGTGACCCGAAAGCAAAAATGTTTGAAAGATTTGAAGAAGAAATCAAGCAAGCAAGACGGAACATCTGAAACTTCGATATGGTAAAATGTCATTATTACTCACAACATCATTGAATAACAAATAATAAACACACGAATGCTTTTTATGAATTGCATATCTTGTTTTCGATTCATAAACATGAACATTACTATGTGTACTACTTGTACTTGACAAAAAACATAGTTGATGCAATGTCATAGACAACAGGATCCTTGAAGAAGGAGTCCAATTTGAAGACAAATATGGAGAGAGTTTTAAACAAATGGTAAATAGCTGTTTATGTAATGTCAGTAATGCAAACAAAACAAAAAAATGCAAAATTTTTAAATGTCCTTTTTCGTCTTTTTACATATTATCCGCTACAAGCAAACAACTAAGTTACCAAACATCTTTCTGCAACCCGCCAAACTAATCCGCTGGTCAAATCCGCTGATTCAATCTGCCATTTACTACCCGCTAACCAAATCCGCTAACCGCTTACCGCTAACCGCTGAGTGCCAAACAAGGCCAAAGCCTAAAAAAAGTCTGGCTGTAAGATGTAATTTGCGGATCAGCAGCACTTCAGGCGGAGGGTCGGTGGCTTGTGCAGACGTGGAAAGCAATTATTGGTGGTCATAAGAGCGCCAGATGTACCGCAATGCACCAATGCTTATACCGTGGAACCGGTGCATGGTGATCGTGAGCACCATGCACCCTTTGTTATTTTTTATTTCTCCTTTCTTAAAAATGTTAATATTTTTTTTTTATTTTTGATCCGATTTTTATAAAATTTATATCAAATTTTTTTATTTTTCATGATCTTTCAAATGAGACCAATATTGCCAATGTAATTTTAACATATTAACATTTGCGTGTAAAAATATGTAACCTTACGTGTTAAAATATTTAACTCAAGTTCAGTCAGGCCAAATGCAACTCATGTGTATAAATATGTAACTCTATGTGTAAAAGTATGTAACTCGCGTTGAGACAGGTCAAATGCAACTTGTGTGTCAGTGTGTATAAATATGTAACTCGCGTGTATAAATATGTAACTTTAAGTATAAAAATATGTAACTTGACGTGTAAATATATGTAACTCGCGTTCAAGCAAGTCAAATGCAACTCGTGTGTATATATATGTAAGGATGTTTTTACTTGGACTGTAATTCCTCCCAGACCAGACCAGACCAGACCAGATCATACCAGACCAGACCAGACCAACAAATTACAGTCCAAGTAAAAACATCCTAACTCGTGTGTAGAAATATGTAACTTTACGTGTAAAAATATGTAACTTCATATATAAAAATATGTAACTCACAGGTATAAATACCCAATACAATAAATTTTTTATATACACAATTTTAAGATAAATTGTGATTTACACAATTATTTTTCTGTATTAAATTTAGTTCGATTTTCCTTATAATCCAATACTCGTTTATATAATAGTTTCATAATTTGTTAAAATTACATAAGCAATATTGATCTCATTTGATAGATCATGAAAAATAAAAACTTTTGATATAAATTTTATAAAAATCGGATATAAAAATAATGGAACCGAGCCACAATACTCTGTCCTTTTGCAACCTGACGCATGCACGATATAATGAAACCTCGCCGAGCAATTTAAAACGGATAATGCCACGTAGGTCAAGATTCTCTATGTGGCGAAGCCGGACGCACCGCTTGACTCTGCCGACGACTGCACCGGAATATGCCTCCCCGGCGAGTGACCTGGATCGACTCTCGTCACTTTCCCGAAAAGTATAAATGTCTCTCATTCACACTCCCCATCCTCGTGCCCTAGCCGTCCGTTACTCCTTTTTCCAGCCGCAACCTGCTGAAAATATCCTCAATTTCTGCTCCAGACACGCAATTTTTCTTTGCATTTTCACGCAATCCAGCTGAAAATTGGCGTTTTTCTTCAGTAATTGTTTATACTCGGAATACGAAGGGGTTTTCTTGTTAAGGTTGGTTGGTGGTGAGGGCTTCGAGCTGTCGGTGCGGTAATGGGAGAGGCAGAAGTGGCTTTTTCCGGTTGGAGGGGTTTCATTTCTTTGCTGTTTTGAGCTTATGGGGTCACACAATTTCGGCGGCTGTGCAGGCGGTGTTCGGACTAAGGCCTTGCGGGAGGAAGCTGAGGTTCGAAAATTGGAAGGTGTTTCCGCTGGAATTAAACGTCCCTTTAACAAATGGACCTCTGCAGCCAGCCGAAAAGGTGGCCTTCACGCTTAATTTGTCTGTTTCTATCTTCAATACTATATTCTATCAGTTCGGTTTTGTTGTGTTAAAACTGTAAAAGGTTGACCCCTCTTCTCTCACTTGTTGAAATTTGAAATAGTTTCCCATATTCCAATATCTTCACCTGAAGTATCTCCGGAAGGCTTTGTTTGGTGGTGAAATTATTGTAAACGTGTGAATTATTTTACCGAACTAACATATGTAGGTTGAATCCCATAACATGGAGTTACGATGCCAAGATGCTGAATTCCACCAAATGTTATGTGTTATTTCTTAAATTTCTTTTGTTAAGAGGAAACTGATTTTGAGGCATATTCCTGTGTATTCAGCTACATAATATACACTAGGAAACTATTATAATATTTTAGAATTTTTTGGCTTACCAAATATGGCATCAAGTTGGAACAGCTAATAGCTTACTGTCGGTAATATCATCATATCTTAAAAGACAGTTTATTTTTATGGCATCAAATGTCTATTCTGTTTGTTCCATAGTTTAAAGCTTATGTTCTACATGAACACACATGATAATGGCAGGTGAGGTTTGTGCTGTTTATTCCTCTTCAGTAGCTTCTTGGAACAATGCTATAGAAGATGAAGTTTGTAGGGATGTTGATCAGCAATCAGTTATCTGGAGCAAGGAAACATCTGAAGGCCACAACTCTAGTACTAATGTTGCAAAGACAGCCAAACTAAATGCTAGGTCACAGCTTAAACCTCGGAAAGCTGGAAGGAGTGCTTCTGGTAGTTCTAAGGGGTTGAAGATGTTAGAGGTGGATGGCTCTGTCCGTAAAACTGGTGAAGATGATGCAAGACCTATAGAAACTTTATCAAATCATGCAAGCTGCAATAATGAAGGTCATTCATTTAATAAGACTGTGTTTTACATATTCTTCAGAGTGCCATATATATAATTTGCAGGTCAGGAATATGACATCCACATTGCCTAACCATGCATAACACTCTTGATAATACTATCACACGACTTCATAATTTTTTTTTTGAATCTGTACAATTCTCTTCCAACTTTGGTGTTGCATAATTGTTATGCGTTTGGCAGTTTGTTGTAGTTCTTTGTTGAAAATCTTTAATTACCATTTTGATATATACTTCCTCTTTCCCAAAATCAACTTCCCACTTTCCTTATTTGGAAGTCCCAAAATAAACATCCCATTTCCATAAAAAGAAAATTCTCAATAGTAAATGTCACAACAATCGTTACTCTTTTCTTAATTTTTACTTGATTTGATATAAAGTAGGGGTATTTTTAGAAACAAAGCAAAAAATCATCTTGCATAAATATGTGTAGGTCAAGTTGGGGAGTTGTTTTTAGGATGGAGGAAGTATTTATTAGTCTATTACCATGCAATGATATAAATATAAGAAGTTTCATTATTTAGCATATTGTTAATTGTACTCCCTAGGCATTTTATTAGTCTCTAGTCTCTACCTTTTAGTGAAGTTCTTATTGAAGGCCACAAGGCTGTTCAGCCATGTTTGGATCTGGTTAGATTTTCCACATTGGTAACCCTCTTTCTTTGTCTAAATTTCCTTGGCATAGTAGGGAATCCTCACAGTTATGTCTGGAGGAAGGGGTTCTATTCAAAATTCGATTGACTAAGCACTTTTCCAGTTTCCTTGGATTTTAATGAAAACGAGACTGCAAAAAACTGCATCTTTGGATGGATGGATGATTAGTCAAACAATGGAAGGGGTGATTGCTTGCTTATCAGCTGCATGATGGGATTAGGGTCTACTCATACTGTCATATGTAGGCATTTGTATACCATAAGTGTCAAGTCCTGTCTTGCACATATATACTTTATTTTCGCGTAAAGAATGAGCATATCACAGTAAAGATGTCCTTTGGCTATTCATCATTTTCATTTACCCCAGTGCCGCAAAGGCTCCCACCTACGGTGGGGTAAGGGTAGTCTTACCCCTATACTAAAGCACCTTTGTACTAAAGCATAGAGAGACTGTTTCCAGATGACCCATAGTGAACATCCCGTCCAAAATTGCATGGACTGACTGCTGCTTCATAACAAAGAAGCGCAGACAGTTTAGTGAGCCATTTTGCTTTATTCCATCATAATCTCAAGCCAAAAAATAACGAATCTTTGGCTCCATTGCAAATGATTGGAAAAGTCCTTTGGCTATTAAACAATTAAATAAACATCAAAGACAAGTGCACTTAAATAAGCATTGCATACCTAGATTCTAGACTAGAAATACTTGAATCTGCGATCTGCTTCTGTATGGATACACATAATCTGCGTGATTCGTGTTATTTCATTATTTGCGTCTAATAAACTCAGAACATTACTTTATTCTTCAATGCCCCTTATGCTATAATTTATAGTTTTCCCTTTTTGTACTTGATGGAATTATTACTTTTGTTATTATGTCTAGTTTTAGACTTCTATATTGCCACTTAGAAGTTTTCTTGTGTCATACAATAGCCATTACATTAGCGAGGGTATCGAATTTATACTGATGAGTATTTTTTTCCATTCTGATATCTTATAGAGAAAGTTCACATGCCTAAGTTAAGGAACAACTCAACTGGCAAGAGAGGGGACAAGAGACTTGGAAAAACTTCAAGGGGTAATTTATGTCTAAAGAATGGCTTGATTAGCTTCTCTTCAGCTGCAAGTGGACACAACTTTCTTGGTATGGCAACATTGGACAAATTATAGCTTATCTCCTTCACTTTCCCACAGTGAATGAACCTATACTTGATTTATGCATGTGTTTCATCATGATTTAAGAATCTAGCGGGGCATGTAGTTGAGTTAAATGTATCTCTTGCTACGCACCTTCTCCGATCACTGCTGGTTCTGGTGCTTTACAACTAGTACTCGTTCCATCCCTAAATTTGCACCCCATTTTCTTTTGACATGCTATTCAAAAAAATAAAGTTATGTTATTGAGATTTATTTCAGAAAGAAAAGCATAATTCTGTCAAAAGGAAATGTGATGATAGCTTGAAAACAGGTGAAAAAGAAAGTGGGAAGTTCTTTGAGGGATGGAGCGAGTATATGACATGAAGTATGAGCCTAAGATGTTTGGCTCCAGCCTTTACTTTGCTTATGAGTTATGACCTCCCCACGCTGTGAAGAAAATGTCAGATTCACTTACCTGGTGATAGTTGTCTTTCCTATTATTTCTTTGTTCCCAGGGAATGGCTTTCTGAAATGAAAACTTTGTTGTGTGTTTGGCAATTAAGGAACAAACACTTGTTGTTAATAATTCGATGTCTATAAGGAATTTAGAATCCTGAATCCCACATATACATTAAATAACCGTGGGTCATCATTGTAAGCTCATTCAGAAGAGGTGTTCTTGACCTTCTGTTTGTGGTTATAAATTCAAGAACAATAAAATGGTCAAGGTACAACTTGAGGAAGGTACTTGTCAATAAACTTACACTTCAAATGATATAATGTGTATATTGTCTTAGCAACACATACAAATGTAACAAGTGGATGAAGGAATAGGAAAACCACTTTGAAGATTTCACTTTAGATGGCTAAATCAGGTTTTATCATGAAAAGGTCCACTTAATGAACATATATGATCTTTGAATAGAAGCTGCTACTAAAGTAATGCACTTTCTTGTCTACACAAGTAGAAAAATATACTAGGTATTAATTAGCGATTACACAAAGGAGGATAAGTTATTTTCATCTAAAACTTAGGTCTATATTTTGCATGTCACGCGGCACAATTGCAGATATTTTGTTGTTTAGAGATTGGATCTGTATCTATATCTTTTTGTGCTGTGGTTATTTGCAGTTGGCTTCTTTTTATAGAGCATTCCATTTTTGAACAGAGAAACGTCATTAAGTGTGTTCAACTTGACAACTTATACTAGAAATCTGCATTATTGGTGAATTATGCACTAGAGTTTCTCTAGTCATTTCTATAGATTTTTAGTGAAAATTGAAGTAAATTGGCACCCTCACAAGTTTTGGGAGTTTTTTGAAGGATTTTTAGTATAAGACATACCATGGAAAGTCCATTTTCCTTAGCTTTATGATGCATTTTTAGAGTATACAGCATGTAAATGATTGATATCAGCTTATATTAAACTGGGCTCAAACTGTCTTGACTCTTGATGATAACGAGAAGAACAGATTTTGACATTCTTTGTTGTCCAGTTGTGCAAAGTGCATAATTTTCGGTTCTAATATGAAATATAATAAATGTAAATCAGGAAATTATGGTTTGAAATCTGACACTTTGGACGTGGCTGAAAAAATGGAGGATATGTCTTTGGAGGAGCTTCTTGATGGCAGTTATATGAGTCCTCTTTTCACCAAAGACAAGGAAAAGAAGGCTACAAGCTCAAATGAAAGTCTTCTTCATGCGATTAGAAATGCTTGCTCTCTACTTCAGAAACCTGAACGGGTCAAGAGTTGCTCAGATGATGATAAGATAGCTGAGCCCATGCATATTGCCTCTTCTTCAGCAACTGAAGCTGATGGCAATAAAGCAGATGCCTGCACTTCGGCTGTATCTTCATATGATAAGGTTAGTTTTGCTACCTATGCAGAGGCGTGTCTATCTTTAGTTTGATATGATAAATACAGCAAGGGTATTTTAGGCCTACTTTGTTAATTCTTGATTTGAGGTCTTGCAACCTCTACGTAGACACACTATGTACAGTATTTTGTGCTCTGTATTGTTTAGAATATCCACTGCTACTATACCTAGTGATGTAATAAGATCCAGATTATAAATTAGCACTTTGAATTACAGTGGTATTCTAAGGTTCTTTGGATTACATCTTTGATGGGAAAGTTCTGGGGGACTTCTTTGGAGGATGTTCTTAGAGACCCAAGCCTATATCTCCATACTGGTTCGGGGTTATCTCACATTGAGGCCGGAATGTGATGCCTGGAATTAGGGGTGGGCGCGGTCCGGTCCAATATTTTACCGAACCCGTACCCGGACCGTTACTATTTAAACGGTTCGGTTCGGTCCTAGACCTAAACCCGTTCGGTACGGTTCCGTTTTCAAACGGAACGGTACCATGCCATACCAATACCAAACAATGCCACTTTTTTTGACAAATTAAAACTTAGTCACCATCCAAAAATCCACACAATTATCAATTTTCATATTACATAGTTAATAAATTTCATATAAACTATAATAGTACAAAACATAAATAACAAAACGTTCATGACCACCACTCTCTAAGCACCATTGGCTTCTCCAGACACCGGCAAAAGATCTTCAATTTGCTGCTCCATTAAACTATAGTAGTTCAAAAAGTAAATCACAAACATCAATTTCAAATATCCTCTTCATCTTGATGAATACTTAAGCTTCCAGGTCTTGCATTTGCCAACTCTATATTTAACAACCAAATTAAATAGTGCAAAAGACAATAAATTATTACTCGTATAAAATAAGATGTTAATAATCAATTTGCTAAATTAGTAGGAAAGAAATACCTGTCTCAATGGCTTCATAAAACTCCAGTTCTTTTGTGCACGGTTCATCTTCAAAATGAGTGATAATGTTATCTCCTTTGAGCCAATTCTGCATACAAATTAAAGCTTCTATTGAAGATGGGGTTAATGAACTTCTAAAAGCATCAATTACTCGTCCACCTGTGCTAAAAGCACCCTCAGAGGCAACTGTTGAAACTTGTATAGCAAATACATCTCTAGCAATTGATGCTAAAACAGGATAATTGGGTGAAGCAAATTTCCACCAATGCAAGACATCAAACATCTGGTATTCCTCTTCAACAACCTCTTCATCGAATGAAGTGTCATCTTCCTCAGTTTCTTGAGGCGGTTTCGCTCCTATTGGTTCCAAAGAATCATTGAGGTATTGATCTATCTCATGTGTAACAACTGTTGCATCAGTTTGTCCGATGTGTTTAGTCCAATCCACCACAAATGCATTTTTACTTGAGCTGCCACGCATAGATGTTGACTTCTGCCTCTTCATATTGCCTGTTTCATTGCCATCTCCATTTCTCTTCTTCACAAGCTTACCACCCTCCAGTTTGTCAACATACTCATCATAGAGAGATAGCATGAAGGTTTTCATCTCAGATTCTTTATTAAACACTTCAAGTTCAGTCCACTCCATCACAGTTCTTAACACATGACTCACATGACGTAGTTTGAACCTTGGGTCCAGGATAAGCCCTAAAACTAAAAAGGGGTTTATTGTTTTGAAACCACCAAAGTACTTGTCACTGGAGCAGTTTCTGACACTGGTGCTGGTGGAGGGGGCATCAAATTTTCAGGTTGTGTCACCGGGGAAGAAGATGACGAAACCATCGAAGAAGTGGAAGCCATTGTGCAACTATCGCTGCTGTTTTCTTGCAAGTTGAATGCCTACCATAATACCATTCAAAATATAAATCCAAAAACATGAGTTAGAGAACCACAAAATCGTTTACTTTATAACCACTATCATTGTATATTAAAAATGTAAATGAAAGCTGCAGCATCTGCACTTATCTTAGAACAAAAAAAGAAACACACATTGCTGCTAACTAATTGCCCAAATTCATAAATTCATTCATTCCCATACTCTTGCTATGTCCATCTATAAATTGTATTTCCATAAATTGTATTTCCATTTACAACAATATACTGTCAAGAATGTACAGATAGTAATTATAAAACTAATTTTATCAAAGATTAGAGACAAGAGTTACCATTTTATTTTTTAGCTTCAATTGATGACTGCTGGCGAGAGGGAGAGAAACTGCTGGCGAGAGGAAGAGAAGCTGCTGGCGAGAGTTTGCCTGTCAGTCTCGCCACTTGCACCGCCGCAGGCCAGACAGCACCTCCAACAACAAACGTCGCACACCGGCACACCCCTGGGGCAGCAACTCCGATTTCGCAGGGCGCAGGGCAGACCGCGGAATGGAGCTCAAGAATTGGAAGCCTAACTGCTCAGTCCGAGACTCCGAGGTACGCGCAGCAAGGGATTTGAGGAGGGCAGGTTGAACCGTTGAACAAGACATATTTTTTGGGCAAGCTGGTTTGAGTATTTTTTTTAGATGGGCTAAAGTGCTAAACATGTTAAATGTAAACTTATAGTCAAAGAATAAGAGAAATTGGGTTGGGCTTCAATACTATAAAGATCTGCCCCAATGCTCCTGCAGGCAGGTTAGAGTGAACATGTATATATAATTATAAATTATTAATTATATAAATTATTAAAATTATAATTCGGTCCGGTTCGATCCGGTACTGGTTTTCATTTTATGAGAACCGGTCATGGCATGGTTTCGAACTGGTACGGTCCGGTTCGGGACAAAATTTTTGAGAACATTTCTGAAGTTTTCTGAATATTATTTCCTTGAATTCATTTACAAGAAGTACATAAGCTATTTATACAGATAGGAATCCTGAGAGAGTCTATTCAGCACCCTAGGTGACTGTCTAAATACTAAACATAAATGATTGAGAACTGAAAAGACAGCAGCTATTAAATACAACCTGAAGCACTAAAGATACATAATTACAGTAATAATAAGGAAAATAAATCCTAGATTAATGATGTCTCTTCGTTTTATCAACACTCCCCCTCAAGCTAGGTTTGTAGATATCCGTCATGCCTAGCTTGACAATAAGACCCTGGAACCTAGGACTGTGCAGAGGTTTGGTAAACACATCTGCAACTTGATCTTCTGAGGGAGTGTAGCTTAGTTCGATCAGACCTCCTTCAACCTTTTCTTTGATAAAGTGCCTATCAATCTCAATATGCTTGGTCCGATCATGTTGGACTGGATTATGAGCTATGTTGATTGCTGATTTGTTATCACACCTCAATTCCATTGGTCCTTTCCACTTTATTCGTAAATCTAAGAGAATAATTCTGATCCATAGAAGTTCACATAAGCCATGGGCAAGAGCTCTTAGCTCAGATTCAGCAGATGATCGTGCCACAACATTCTGTTTTTTGCTTCTCCATGTCACGAGGTTTCCTGCTAGGAAAACACAGAGACCAGTAGTTGACCGGCGGTCAACGAGGGAGCCACCATAATCTGCATCAGTGAAGGCTTGGACTGATAATTGCCCACCCTTCCTGAATATTATCCCTTGCCCTGGACTTCCTTTTAGGTAGTGAAGAACCCTATAGGCTGCTTCTAGATGTGGTTTCCTTGGATCATGCATGAACTGACTCAAAACACTAACTGCATAGGCAATGTCAGGTCTAGTATGAGAGAGATAGATAAGTTTGCCACACAAGCGCTGATACATTGATGAATCAACCTTGGGTTCATCAGTAGCAAGTCCAAGCTTGTGATTAGGATCCATAGGTGCATTAACCGGTCGACAAGCACTCTTACCGGTCTCATTTAACAAATCTGTAATGTACTTTTGTTGGCTGATAAAGATGCCTTCAGATGAGCGAGCAACTTCAATTCCAAGAAAGTATTTTAGAGGGCCAAGAGACTTCATCTCGAATTTGGATTTCAGCTGCCCCTCAAGACGTTGTTTCTCAACTGGATCATTACCCGTCACAATGATGTCATCCACATATACCAAAAGAATAGTGACTCCATTTGGGCGAGAGTGTTTGTAAAAAAGAGTATGATCCCCTTGGCTTTGACTATACCCAGCAGCAAGAACAACCTGTGTGAAGCTGTCAAACCAAGCACGAGAGGATTGCTTGAGACCATAGAGGGCTTTTTTTAAATGACATACATGTGTAGAGGTTCTTGTTGATGTTTTATTAAAGCCTGGGGGAATGTACATGTAGATCTCATCATGCAAGTCACCGTGGAGAAAAACATTCTTGACATCAAATTGCAATAAAGGCCAATCAAAGTGAGATGCCAAGGATAGTAGGATACGGACAATATTGAGCTTAGCTACAGGAGCAAAGGTCTCTTCATAGTCAATCCCATACGTCTGAGTGTATCCTTTAGCCACAAGACGAGCTTTGTACCGCTCAAGAGATCCATCAGCCTTGTATTTGACAGTAAAGATCCACCTGCAACCAACAACATGCCTCCCAGGAGGTTTAGTCACAATATCCCAAATATGGTTCTTTTCAAGAGCTCTAATTTCCTCTTGCATAGCATCCCTCCATTCTTTCTTTCCTAATGCCTCAGAAACAGAGTTGGGTATGGGAATTTCATTAAGTCTCTGAACAAACAAGGCATGTGAAGGAGAGAAGTTATCAATGGTAACAAATTAGCAAGAGGGTATAGAGGTGTTTTGGTACATTGACGTACACCCGTGCGTAAAGCAATTGACGGAGATGGTGGTGGAGAAGAAGAGACATTACCTGGGTCAGCCAATTGGTCATGCGTCAACAATGGAGTGAACCTGTTTTTCCTTGAGTACACTTTTGTCACTGGTAGAGGAGAAGATGGGTCATGAGTGGTGGATTTAGTAGGTGTAGGAATGGGATGATCTGGTGGTGTATTTGATTGAGGTTCAGGTGATGTTGAAGACTGTTGGGAAGTAGGTGAGGTTGCTGACACATCTAAGGAAGGTGATGGATGATCATGTGGTGGTGGTGGTGATGGGATGTCTGGTGATAAAGGCTTAGGAGGGTAGGAGATTGTATGTGGTGGAGAAGATGTAATAGTATAGGTGGGCAGAGGTGAAGGATGTGGAGTATCTTGGGATACAGGGAGAGAAGTAGGAGTGTAAAAAGGTGTGTCTTCGTGAAAGGTCACATCTGCACTGGTGTATGTCTTTCTGGTTGTAGGATTATAGCACTTATATCCTTTCTGAGTTGGAGAATAACCAAGAAAGATACACTTAATAGATCGTGGGTCCAATTTTCCCCTATGAGGTGGAGGAATATGAACAAATGCAGTACACCCAAACACCCTTAGATCAAGATCAGAAGAAATTCTGGTTTGAGGAAAGAAATGACGGAGAGATTCAAGGGGTGACTTATTTTGGAGTACCCGACTGGGAATTTTATTGATGAGATGACATGCTGTGAGTGTGGCTTCCCCCCAATAGTGTTTAGGCATATTTGATTGAAACAATAAAGCCCGACTAACGTCTAGGAGATGGCGATTTTTTATTTCTGCTGTGCCATTCTGTTGTGGTGTGTACGGACAAGAGGACTCATGAACAATGCCTTTTGAGAGGAAATAAGAGGAAACGGTTTGATTGAAGTATTCAAGAGCATTATCAGTGCGGAAGCGTTTTATTGTGGCGGAGAACTGATTATGAATCATATTGCAAAAGATAGGAATGATGGAACTCACCTCACTCTTGTTTTTTAGCAGAAAACCCACATAAAACGTGTACAATCATCAATAAATGTAACATACCACCGGGCACCAGATATATTAGCAATTGGAGCAGGACCCCAGACATCACTATGTATAATATCAAAAGGAGAACAACTGATTGTATTACTTCTGGAAAAAGATACACGAGACTGTTTAGCAAGTTCACAGACATCACATTGAAATGTAGAAACATCAATACTACTAAAAAGACTGGGAAACATGGTTTTTAGGACATGAAAAGAGGGATGACCAAGACGCTTGTGGTGAAGCCAAATAGTGTTGGTATTGGCTGTGATTGTGGTAAGAGCTTTTTGTGGAGGTTTGGAGACAAACAGTGCATCAAGGTAGTACAGGCCATCTCTTTGTTTAGCAATTCCAATCGTCCTCCCCGTGTGTAGATCCTGTAATAAACAGTGGGAAGGGAAAAAAATGGCAGCACAATTAAGATCAACTGTGAGTTTGTAAATAGAAGCAAGGTTCATAGCCAGGTTTGGGACATGTAGGGTGTTTTTCAGATTTAATTTTTCAGAAAAAACAACCGTACCAAGTCCCGCAACCTTTGTAGGTGTCCCATCAGCAGTAGTAATGTGCGTGGATGTAAAACATGGATGATAATTAGAGAGTAAAGAGGGTATGGCAGTCATATGAGATGTGGCACCTGAGTCTAATATCCATTGGGATTGTGAACTCTGTTCCGAAGCATTAAGACAAAAAATAGTAGAGGTTTTACCTTGCAGGGCCAAAGAGCTATGACCAGAACCATTTGAGTTATTAAGAGACTGTAACATCATACGAATTTGCTTTAATTCCTCCTGGGAAATGGGCCAAAGATTAGTAGAGCTCTCAACAATAGTGGGAGTGACTGAGTTGGCACGTCCAACACTCATTCCACGTCTGTCTTGGCTTTTCCTTTCTTTCTGTAGATGAGGATAAAGTTTCCAGCATGTATCCACATTATGGTTGGACCGCTTGCAATGATCACACCATCTTCCTCCCTTACTACCCTTAGTTTCCTTAACATCTGAAGGAGTAGATTTGGCAGCAAGAGCTGTACTGTCAATCAGATTTGTATTCATCATTATATTGCGTCTGCTCTCTTCATGTTTGATAGTGGCAATGGCAGAAGATATGGAAGGCAGAGGAGTAATGCCAAGAATTTGACCCCGAGTCTGATCATATTCGGGATTTAAACCAGACAAGAAGCAATATAGACGTTGCTGATTTATATAGTTCTTGTGAAGAGCTGCATCTGCATCATTCGACCACTTCATCGTTTGATACTGGTCAAGTTCAGACCATCGTCGTTGGAGGTCAGTTGCATAATCTGTGACAGATTGTGAATCTTGCTTAAGATTCGTTGTTTTGAGCCATAAGTCATAGACAAAAGCGCCATCTTTAGCAACAGAGTAGGACTGCTGTATGAAATCCCAGATTTCTTTAGCCGAGTCCATGTATAAACATGTACTGCTAATGTTGGGATCCATAGAGTCCCATAACCAGACCCGTACGTTGGCATTAGTTTTCTCCCAAATAGCAGCATCAATCTCTCCTTCTTCTGGGGTAGAGACAGTGAGATAATCTTCAAGATCTTTGACACGTAGAAGAGTGTAAACCAGCTTTGACCACCCAAGATAGTTCCTGCCATTGAGACGGTAAGATGGCGGGATAGAAGGGAGATCAAATTTCTGGTTTCGAAGAGCAAACGCGGCTGCAGTAGCAGCTGAAACAATGGTTGAGTGATCAAGGTTACTTGAGGCTGATTCGGCTTCTTTAGACATGATAAAACCCTTGATGAAGAGACTCCACCGGGAGTTAAAGAGAGAGAAGGGTAGAGACACCCAAAAAATGACCGTTGGAGAGGTGATAGACTGACTCAAAAAAGGCTTAGACGAAACCAAGCTCTGATACCATGAAGTTTTCTGAATATTATTTCCTTGAATTCATTTACAAGAAGTACATAAGCTATTTATACAGATAGGAATCCTGAGAGAGTCTATTCAGCACCCTAGGTGACTGTCTAAATACTAAACATAAATGATTGAGAACTGAAAAGACAGCAGCTATTAAATACAACCTGAAGCACTAAAGATACATAATTACAGTAATAATAAGGAAAATAAATCCTAGATTAATGATGTCTCTTCGTTTTATCAACAATTTCAAACCCCGTTTTGCGGTCCGGTACCATACCGGTCCGGTTCGGTACCATGCCGGTTTGGTAATTTTGCCCACCCCTACCTGGAATGTTAGATACCCATGTTTGGTTCACGGTTTTGAGAAAAAATCGGGAAAGTTACATTCCCGGGAATGTAATATGGAGGGGAATGTTATACCCTTCCATGTCTTAGGGTATCTGACATTCCCGAGGATGATCTAGTTTTCTTCCGAAAATACCCTCAATTAATTATCGCTTTTCATTTAATTTCTCTATGTAGTTTTAATGTGATTTAAATATTTTTGTGATTTATAAAACTTTTAATGTAGTTTCTAAATATGTAAATTTTATTTGCTAAAAATAATCTTATTATTGACGGGGATCAGTTAATTTTAGAGGGTTTTCCTTAAATATTACCAAAATATAAGTTATGGACAAAAATATTACTACGGTTAATATGCACAGTCACTATGATGTAAAGTTGAACACTATCATGGTCAACAAAGTCATATTTTTGTCCTTTACCTTCGTTTCGGTTATATATTTGTCATTATTTCTTAATTTCATAGTCAATCGAATATCTAGATTGTGTGACAACCTTTTAAGTGGGACGCATGGAGTGTGTTTATTTAATTATATTCGAATGTCTATTCTTGTTATTTTCATAATTCTTTTTTCCTTTTTAAGGTATTTATGTTATAAGACTTATAGATTATTTAAGTTTTTAATGAGTGAATTTCAAAATTTAATGGCAAAATTGATCATTTTTCTTTAATTTGAAAACAAGTTTTACAAATAACTCAAACATTTTTAATTTTTCTTTGAAATGATTATAAATATATTTAGATTGTTATTTGAACAGAGTTTTTTCCATCTCTGTATTGGATCTACAACCTCTTACAATTAAACTTACTTAAAAATAATTCAATTAGATTTGATTTTATTTATTATTAAGATATTTCATTTTTTTGTTTAACTTTTAATTACTTCAGATGTAATAGATTTATTGTGTTAAGAGAATATTGAAATGGCATCGAAGTAATCCACCATATCTACAATATAAGATATCTTTTAACCAAATAAATTAAGGTCACATTCCCTTAATCTTAACCAAACACAAATGGGAATAAATTGAATACATTCCCATCAATCTAACATACCCAACAATCTGACATTCCCATGGTAATCGGACATTCCTTGAACCAAACGATCCCTTAGAGTTCTATGAAATGTTAGTTTGGCTGCTTTAACAGTTGTGTTACTACGCCATTGCCCTCGTATGTAATTTGCTTAAGTAGTTTATGGTAAGTGCATTTGGGTTATGAAATGTAGGATTACCTTAGATACTAAGACTACCTCGTGGAAGGTATTATGAGATTTAATGAATCATTAACCTAATGTAGTAGTACTTAAGTGCTCCCAAGCTAATGCAACAATACCACCTAATTTAAGGGAAAGAGTGGAATCTTAAAAAGTATCTAACAATCTTAAGAAACCCAAGTTAAGGTTACCCCCAACATTACCCTTCCTTATATTACTAGGGTAATATCGGATTACACAAACCAACCATCTTTTAAGGGTAGTGCTCTATCACTCATGCAAATGCTTGTATGAGAAGTTGTTTCCCACAGTTAAAAGTTACGAATCATTTGTTATTGTATTTAAAATGCTCTATTACAGGAAGCGTGTGGTAAGATTAAAACAGCTGAAGCTTGTGTCAATCTTCCACCATGCAAACGCGTGGATATTTTGAAGCACATTTCACTCCCCCCAACAAAGGATTTGGATGCTTTGCTTCTTGATGCAACCAAACACACATCTTCCAGAAACAACCCTGATCCTCGTCTAGGCAAGCCAACATCATCGCAACGAATTGGCTTGCATCCTTTTCCTTGGTCACATGGGTACTCCGGAAACCACAAATCTGGGCCTGATGCATCGAAACCATCAACAAGTAGGACAGCTTGCCAAGGCAAGTGGGTAAGGGTGAAAGACATATTTACTCCTCAAGAAGGATGTCCTAGTTTTGCAGTAGATTTGCAATCTCTCACTTATGATCACAGTCTAGTTCCATCAGGAAGTAAACCATCTGTGATTCCAGAAAGAGGAAATCAGATCAAACATCCTTGTGACACTCAAAATGGTGAACCCCTAGAAAGTCAAAGTCAGAGTCATGTTCCTTCAGGAGGTCAAACATCTGACCTTTCAGAAAAAGGAAATACCCCAGCAGTCCAAACTGAATTTGCTTCCTTTGACAGAGTTCTTTCATCATTCGCTACTTGTTCTATTTCCCAAGTTTCTTCAGGTACATTTCTAGAAGGGTAAACCTCGTGAATTTCATCTTTCATACAAAATCTTTAACTTCTTGAGGGACTGCTTGTTATCGTTTTTGTTTGTTTGAAAAATAAAAACAAGATTTTTAAAAAATGAGAATGTGATCTTCAAGTTTTTGTTGTCACTCTTTGAAATTAACATGATTAGTTTGACTACTTTTTGGTTTATAATAATACAACCTATATCTTATGCTCTCTCAGCCCCTAAAAGAAGTTCCAAGTTTGACTTGCGTCAATGTTAATGAGTCAAATGTTTTGCTTTTGGCTATCAGTTGTTCACTTGTGATGTGTGGTTGAGAGTAATTAATAGCGGTATACATGGATAGTAAATGAGTGTAGTAAAGTAACATTTACTTCTATCATATGATGAGAGTAACTTTTAAAACGGTAGAGCCTAAAACTGATGGCTGGATGGGATATAAAATGGGCCTTGATAGCTTTTTAGCAACATCTATCCATTATTAACTACTTTGATCTTAACAGAGGAACCATCCCCAAGGTGTTTGACCGCTGCACGGACACTGTGTGAAATTGCAACCCGATCAGTGAAGCGCAGAACGAATGGAACGGTAAAGTGTTTTAATAAACCTAGTCAAAAGTCCACAAGAGCTCCTCCAAAGCTGAAGTTGAGTGAGAAACCAGAAAAACCATTTGCAGCACCAAAGAGTATGGATATGATGAGAGCTTGCGAGGGGATGCTTCCACCCAAAAGACCTAAACTAATGTTGGACGGAGAGAGAAACGGAAAAGCCATTCCGAGAAACTCTGACAGAAAGCATTGGTCGGCTCCACGATCAGTTAGACCGTCTTCGAGCAAATATTATAAAGACACAACAAGTTCAGAAACAAAAGGTCACAGTAACAGCAGCTTTGTAGATAAATTATATATGATTAAGGGATGTAGTAGTCAGCAAAAAGCATTCAAGTAGCAAGATGATGACTGAAGCTCATCAACAAACAAGGGCTGTATATGAAGATTCATTCTGTTTTAACTTTTAGATCTCACCAAAAGTGGTAGGTGTTTTGTAAATTCCGTCTGTATGAAGAAAGAAGGGAGCTGGTGGCCGTGATCTTGATTTCAGGAGAAACAGGCAAGCCTGCCCTGTTGTATCATTATTATTTGTTTAATGTTATGTAATCAGAACTGTAATATCCAATCAAATATTCTTCCTTCTCCATCTTTCATGTAAAGTGGTTCGAATTTATTATCTCCGCTCATAAAATGTACGGTAGAGGATTGGAGTTAAAGGTCTTACAAATTTGGTGGGATGGTAAGAAAAGGATAATAGAAACATGTCACAACTCGCAAGTAGGATTCTCTGTTATGGGACTCATGGGAGTGCTTTCATGGCTGTTTAGTAGAAAAACCATAATGTGATAATCTCCACGGGAAGAATGCCTAGATTGTTATACAACAAAACAAGAGACTAGGGATGGACCGGGCCGGGCCGAACCGGCCCGGAACCGGACCGGCCCGCTACTGTGCGGTCCCGGACCGGACCGGGCCCGGTTGGCCGGTTTCGGGCTTTTAGCCCGTGTAGGCGGGTTGGGCGGGCCGGGCTTGGGCCCAGTTTTGGGCGAACCGGCCCGGGCGGTTCGGGCCGGGCCCGGGTCATTTTTTCCTTTTTGTTTTTTCAATTTTTTTTCTTTTCCTAGGGTTGGGCTGGGTGTTTTGGGGAGGTTTGGGGGGTGGGGGTGAGGGGGGGGGGGGTCGGGGGATAACAAGAAAGCAAAAAAAAACAAAAATTAAGTATTGAACCGGGCCCGCCCGGAACCGGAACCAACCCGGCCCGGGTCCATCCATACAAGAGACTAGAGATCAGAACAAAGTCCATGCAAAGACTTGTATTTGCGGGAGAATATCCCTTTGCACCGACCACAATCAGAATATGTGAGATTTTAGCAAAGTTGATTACATGCATAACATACCTAAAACATGATGAGTCAGTCTTGGTCTAACATCTGTTTGTTGATGAGATACCATATGATGGAGTGATCGGTGAACTAGGTATGAAAAGAATTGATCAAAAGCATAAATGATGACAAGAAACACCTTCCATAGTTGAGTTCTGAACCATGGAGCAATGGTGGCCGAGGTAGTAGGTGACATGGAGATCCTTCAATTCACTTCTATTTCTAAGAAATGCTTGAATAGCATGATTTTTAGCACCACTCATCAATTTAAAAGGAATAGACTAATCAGAGCTTTGACGAGAGCTCCCTTGAAAGTTTTGAAAGATTGGAGACAAATTATTTCTATCAAAATCGGACAGATAATGTCATAAACAAGAAGTTTGAGTACATCTCCTTTGGTATCTGCAAAAGACCATGAAGTGGGTGTGATGTGAGCTCTCAAAATTCGCAACTACTTTTCTCTTGTTAGGTAGAGTGTAGCAAAAATTATCACCAAATGTGCAATTGTTTCTCCCCGAAATGCACATTTGGGATTTAGTGATAGAGCTTTGCAAAAATTTGATTATCACACTTCAAATTTACGAGTGCGGTATTACAAAAGTTATATTATGAAAGATGACACTCTCTATCCAAATCAAATTAGCTCACATGCTCCAAAAGTCATGGCATGATATTCGGCTTAACACTTGATCGTGACACAACTTCTTGTTTGTTACCATTCCAAGATATATAAAATTTCTAGTTAAGAAAATACAAATAGCTATTGAAGATGTATAATCCCAAAGGAAACCTGTGTAGTTTGCACTAATATATATCCAAAATATATGTGTCGGTGTTTTTTGAAATAATTTGATGACAATGGGAAGAGTATAGGTATTTCTTGAGCTGATTCTATAAGCGACTTAGTAAAATACATAAACGTACTATTTATGAAACTTGACCTTCTTCTTCAATTGGGAATGACCTCCGTTCCTATGTTGACGCCTATATGTATAAGATAAGATTACTACTAAAAAGTTTCCTAGAATTACTAGGGAAATTGGGGTTTTAATCGTATTAGGTATTTGAAAATATGGTTTCAGACGCGCCAAGAACAACCATATATATAGAAAAGTAGGCTAAGCTTCAAGAAAGTTTGAGATGTGAATTTTTGGTATTTGAAGAATAGATCCATCATCTGCAGTAGAGCCAAATACTTACTATTTTTGGCTTGGGAATATGATGGAATAAAGCAAATTTGTTCACTATACCGTCTGCTTTTCTTTTTTATGAAGCAGTAGTCAGTCCATGCAATTCTCGACGCGATTTTTACTATGGGTCATCCGGAAACAGTCTCTCTGTGCTTTAGTACAGGGGTAAGAGTGCGTACATTCGACCCCCTTATCCCACACTAGGTGGGAGAGCCTTTGCGGCACTGAGATAATGATAATGATGAAGACGAATAGATTCTATTTTAGAAAAGATTAGCACATTAATATTTTATGTAAAGTATTTTGTAAAGCCGGATTTCTCAAGGGGAGATAAAAGGACAATATCAAATAAAGTGACATACAAAGTAGATTGACCATGATCTAGGACACTAACATGGAATCCTTTTGAAGATGAGAGTACCTCAAGAACACGTGTTTTTGCACACGGAGAGTTTGTCCCTAACTAGAGTGATATCATGGATAAGGAAGTTGCACAAACACTTCTGAAGACAGTGTATGCAAAGCCCCATGAGTGAGTAAGAAGTTGTAAAGAGTCTTCATTTGTAATGCATCTGAGGAAGCTAATTTAATGTTGTCAAGCAGCTTGTGTTTCTCACATATATAGTGTTCTGTTAAATATCAGCATCATTGACTTGGATGAGTTTTGAACTTTTGACCTTCTCCTTGGGAGTGACATAGTGATGCATCGAAACACAAGCTGCTTGACAACATTAAATTAGCATGATCCACACTACTTTTACATGGAATAACTTTATATATATATAATAAATCGAGTTTGTTGGTGTGTTTGAATATGAAGATTAGTGTGATCCCTACAATTATCCATTAGATTAGAAAAATGATCATAAAAATATTCCTAGGCTATTTCACATAGGATAGTTTTTATCACCATAGAAATTGAGTCTGGACTTCATGAAAGAACCTCTAAAATATGTTTAAATGAAAAAAAAAGAAAAAAAAAGAAAAAAATGTTTAAATGTTTAAAGACTTGTCTTAGAAGTGGAGCCACAAAGTTTGAATCTCTTCTATCTTCATCGCTCGAGCCCTCCATGGACACTAATACACTAGTCTTTATCGTTTTTGTTGAAGTCCCACACCAGAAAATTGTGAAATAATAAAGTGTTATATTAAAATCTGGGCTACTTCTCTTATCAGGTTGACCTTTTAGAATGGTATCAGAGTCATATCAATCCATAATCATGATGCGACCCCCTTATGAAAAATGATGATGATTATAAAAAATCAAGAATGATGCAGTGCTTGTCGTGATGAGGGGGTTTGAAGTCTCACACCGGAAAATTGTGAAATAATAAAGTGCTATATTAAGATCTGAGCTACTCCTTCTCAGATTGACCTTTTAGATGGAACCTCGGATCTTAACAGTTTTAGACTCCCGTGCAAGTCTAACACTGAGATTTTGTTCCTTTTACTCCTTTTTAGATCTTTAATGATTTATTTATTTAATTATTTAGGAGTAAGAAAATTGGATTGATCTCATCACTGGAAGTCTGGGAGAGTTGTGGATGACAGGGCAATGCTTCCATTTCAATTCTCGAATCTTTCTGCTAAAGCACTTCTTAAACCGCACTTCACTACAAAAGATATCAATCCTGTAGTTAGGTCTGTCAATGGGTCGGGTCCGGGTCTGAACGTAGTGTTCCATATTGAGATTTAATTTAATTTTAGGGAAAACTGTCAATTGCGCCCTCCTACTATGCGCGATCCGTTAATGGAGTCCTCGTACTTTGGAAACCTTCAATTGAACCCGCCAACAATGAAAATCCTGTCAATTAGGTCTACATAACCGGATGCTTCCCGGTTAGCCCGTTGCTCGCTCACGTGGACATCGTACATTGAGGGTTCTGTTGCTGACATGGATTAAAAATTTCCACATCAGTTTTCCCTTTCCTTTTTCAATTTTCTTTTCTCTCTTCCTACTTTCTCTTTTTTTCTCTCTTTCTTCTTTCCTCCTGATCCGCTACTCTTCACCTTTAATTTCCCAGTCCGCAGCTCCCCCTCCCCCTTGTTCGTTTCTTTCTTTCGATGCTTTTAATTTTTCTTTCCCTTTTCTATTTCTCCTGTGCATCTGCAACTCCATCTCCTCACTTCCCTCCTGCACAGACTACAGATCTATGGTGGAGGTGGTGGTGGTAGCTATGGAGGCTGGGGTGGTTGGAGGTCGTTCCAACTTCCAATAGAAAAGATGAAGGTGGAGACCATGGAGGTGGAAGTCAGATCGAGGCGGTTGGTATGGTGGTAAGGGCGGCGGAGGTGGTTGCTACGGAAGTCGGCGCGGCTGGAGTTCGTTTCAATGGAGGAGACGAAGGGACGGAGGTGGTGGTCGGAGGACGTTTGTATGGCGGAAGGGGTGGTTGAGGTGAAGGTAGAGGCCGGACTCCAGAGGCGGCGGCTATGGAAGCTGGCCGGCAGAGGTAATGGCTAGAGAGGCTGGTAGCTATGACTACATCACGGCAGAGGCAAAGTGATGTGGAATTTTTTAATCCATGTCAGCAACGGAACCCTCAATGTACGATGTCCACGTGAGAGAGCAACGGGCTAACCGGGAAGCATCCGATTATGTAGACCTAATTGACAGGATTTTCATTGTTGGCGGGTTCAATTGAAGGTTTCCAAAGTACGGGGACTCCATTGACGGATCGCGCATAGTAGGAGGGCGCAATTGACAGTTTTCCCTTAATTTTATTATCATTATTCATTATTCATTATCATTATACTCCATGTATTACATGCATGTATTTAAGTAGCTATGTATTTGTATGGCCCATACTTCAATTATACTAGCTAGACTCTCTCTCATATAGTCATATAATGTATGAAGAGATTGTTCGATGAATAATAAGCTCCATGAATAATAAGCAGATTATGAATAGATTGTTCTATATATTGTAATATATATAGGTGTGCATATGTTCCATGAATAATAAGCAGATTGTTCGATATTCTCTTTTCATAATTTCATATATTTTATCTGCTCCAAATTTAACATTTCAGACCCGGACCCGCTAAGTTAATAATGGACCCGAACCTGATCCGTTTACCCGGCGGGTCTGAAAATTTGGACCCAGACCCAATGGGTATGGGAATCGGGCCAGGTAGACCCGCCCACCAAGTATGACACGCACACCATTATAAACTTTGTGAAAATAACAAGACATGTATGTGAAATATAAAACAAAGTGTACAAATTTAAAAGCAAAATATATCTTCACTTTTCAAAAAATTCAAGCTCTCATAGAAAATTAATACTTTTATCTAATAGAGTATCGGTTCTTGTACAGACATATATAGATCCACACTCTGCGTCGCTTTCTCTTGCACAAAAAGCTCGTAGAATAAATTAGAAATTAAGTCATAAAAAGATCTCTTGGACTACTAAGAGTATAAAATCATATGTAGTACTATATATGATAATGCTATAATAATATTAATACTAATAGTACTAAATATTGTGTTTTTCCTACCGAGCCCAATACACACTTTATCAGTATGTATTTACGGCCAAAATGAGCATTAGTTTTAGGGTATCTTACTATCTCGATCACTATCACTTATATAGTACTACCTCTGTCCCACTAAGATTGGGACAAGAGAAAGTGACACGATTATTAAGAAAAGTGGGTTTGTGTGGTTGATATTAAATTGATAAAGTAAAAACATAGTAAAATTTATTTAGAGCCACAAAAACTTTACTAAATTTGGTATGAGACAATCTTAGTGGGACTTCCCGAAAAGGTAAATTGAGACAATCTTAGTGGGACGGAGGGAGTAGTTATGTATTAATGTGTATATTTTTATTGAAGAATCACAACTAATAACTTTATGTATTATTATGTATATATGTATACTAGTTTCTATTTTATTTAAAGTGTTATAACTAATCACTTTATGTATTAGTGTCTGTGTATACAAATAAGAAATTTTAAACTGGTTCGGGTCCTTAATGGGTCAGAATCATATGTACCATACCCGACCCATTTCTTTAAAATACTAACGAGTCCGGATTCGGGTCTGGGTCCAAGTCGGGTCCGGGTCTAGACCCGACCGATTGACAAGCCTACATGTAGTGCTCTTTTATTTAGATTTTTAGCATGTCATCTAAAACTTAAGAATATCCATCTGAAAAAT